TGGTAGTGGGAGAAGATCAGACTGTTGACAAATGATTTCAATGGTTTCATTGATTGGGATCATTGTGAACAAGGAGGTTGCATCAAATGAAGCCATGAACTTATTTGAAACGTTCATGTGATTCACGCTTTCAGCAAAATGAAATGAGTCCTTTATGGTGTGCGCGGCCAGCCTTTGGCGAATGGGTTCCAACTTCTCCGCGAGCCAACGGGCAACCTTATGTTGGGGAGAGTTGATCATCGAAAGTATAGGTCTCAGAGGGACTTCTTTCTTGTGTGTCTTTGGAAGGCCATACATATATGGCAAGCGGGACCCTCGGGGTTTCAATTCATTGTACGTGTTGTTGTCAATCAATTTCTTCTTTAGAAGATCTCTCAATACGTTTGTGATGCGTTTTTCGGTTGCATCTGTCTTGTCTTTCTGGCAGTCGTCGACTTTGAACCTCAACGGATCACTGAGCACAGTTTTCATCCTTGCGACGTAGTCATCTTTATCCATCACTACCACTCCTGAGCCTTTGTCAGGTCGCAGTATGACAATTTTGTCATTATTTCTAAGAGCTTTCAATGCTTTTTGATGTTCTTCAGAGAGGACTTTTGAATATGACGTTGGTGAGATGAGGTATTGATTTGCAACGTCGACCAGCTTAGATTTGAACCAGCTCTTCTTGTCTTCATCAACTGGAGTAAGATCATTCAGCTGATAGAATAGGTTTTCGAATTGAGCTGTGACGTCGGTTCTATTGACAAAGCTATTCGGGATATGGAAGTTAAATCCGAGGGAAAGCACTTCCATTTCAGAAATTGATTCGTTTCTCAGCCGAAATGAAAGCTGTTCTCAGTGATCTGGACAAATGGTTATTCAGGATTTCAGCTGTGGCATCACCTTCAAGTTCAAAATTCACAAACAAAAGTTTCTTAAGTACCGTTTGGATTCTTTCAGGCTTTTGCTCTAATTTCATGTTTTTCTCGATGAAATGGATATTGAAAGTGCGTCTCAATAGTAGTTCCTTTAAGTAGGGAAACTCTCACGTCCAGATTATTATCCTCGATGATTTTGCATATAAAGTAAATAGTGTCAGTGAGAGGAACATCAATGAGGAGAGTGGTAACGTCTAGCGATACTGTTCTCTTTCCGGATACATTAAAACCACCTATTAAATCAATGAATTCAAATGTGGCGACTGAGACTATTTTCGAGAGACAAAATGACGTCGAAGATCCATTTGTCGGTAGCATGGTATGGTGAATTTGTCAGATCTAAGACTGGCGTATTAGGTAATAATAGACTACTATGGTTTTGGTAAACATAAGTGCGACTGTCTAGCTTGTGAAGAGAGGAATCTTTTGATGAAGAGCTGCAAAATCTCTGAAGAATCTATATTGATAAACAAGAACATGAAACCGAAGTAGGCTGTTGAACGCGTCCAGATCTCCTATAGAAACATTCTGCTCCTGGATCGTGAATTTAAAAAGGGACAGTGGTGCAGGAATCCTCCGCAAAATAGCTTTCAAAATCTTTGCCTTGATCAATCAAAGTCTATTCCCTTTGTCTCATTTGGTTATGTAACCTTTCAAAATCCCTCAGTAAAAAATACTTTGCAACCGTATTTCCGATAAACTATTCGGCCAGCAAGTAAAAGACAAGTTATAGCACAAGGCCACATCAGCATTCATATAGCACTTCACTTGTGCCTGAGTAGCCGAGTACATTGGTCATACCATGCATCCGCTTGGAAATTATATCCAGCCCCGCTATCAAGTAGAGGACGTGTGTTTATAATCCTGTCACAGAACATCTCATGAACTCAGGACACCTAGGTGGATGTGAGAAATCCTGCACAAGATCCGATCTCATCTCTCTTAGGGAGTGAGATTAAAACATTTGGGCATGGCTAAAGAATTAGCGGTCCAAAAAGTCAAGCCAATGCAGAGTATCCTAAAGAAGTACGTGCTTACAATTGCCATCATAAATAGTCAATTTCCTCAGCAAAAACAAAAAATGTTAATTATCCGACTATGCTTTTTATCCGAACTTCTCGTTTCTTTCCCTTATTATTATGTTTCAAAACTCTACTAGTGTAATGTTAAAACTAGAATATAAAGAAGAGGTAATCAGTAACCATACTCTTTATTCATTACGTGATCTCTTTGTGTTTTTTTTATTTGCAATTATTTTCACAATCTTCAAAGCACTTTATATGCTGTCTGTGGTACGAAACACTAGTTATCTCGATTTGATCAAAGGCAAAACTGTGCAATGACACAATTGTAGTAAAACGGTTTGACAGAAGAGTGGAACTTGAAGACTAAAAATTTCAGTGTTCAATCCATATTGGTTGACGTGTCTACACTCTTTCTTCTGTCGTGTAATGTATTATAATATTGGTTTTTGTTCCAATTGTGTCTACAATTTCTTATGCTTATCTCAGTTTTCACAATATCTATCCCCGCATAACTCTTATTCTTGTTACAGAATTCCATGGCGATTTGTGAAACTGTATCATAAGAGGACACAGTATGAACACAAAGTATTACTTCATTATTGTTATGAGCGACAGACTGCATCATAAATGTTTTTCAGTCAATAAATAGAACTGTGTCATTCTTTCCTATATCAAATGAACTAACCAACATGAACATTTTGTCAATTATTGATTAGTTAATACAAGTGTAAGGTGGTAGTGAATAGTAGTCACAAATGAAACAAAACAGATCAATGTAACGCATTAAAGGGTAACAAAAAGCAGTGAAGCTGTTAAGAGCAAAAGAGTGATAACTGGCTTTTTAAAGCAATTAGTTCCGTTTATGAATTTCAACAAGACAATAAGAAGACGTGTAATGTATATTTTGAGCAAAATATTTCAGGCATTCTGACTACACACACACAAGTATTTGTCCTACATATTTGTATTAGAACGTAACAGACCATAAAGAATTACAATTATGATCAATATAGGTCAAGATGTCCACAGGTCATGAGTACAGAAGATAAGTGATAGTACGATGGGTTAAGAAAAAAGAGGAGTGAAAATATTAATAGGTAAAATGAACCTTAGTTCTAAAATTGAATTGTCAAGGCAGGTATATGTGACAAGTACATGTATGTACGTGATCAGAATTATTGATATGAGAATAAAATTGGGCACTGTGGTAGAGTGGATTCAAGACGTCTGGGAATAGCTGAGGCACTGGCGATCCATAAACTCAAGCTTATTCTACGTTTCCAAAAGAAATTTGTCCAACCGCTGTCCCTACCGTGGCCACTTTAAAAAGTAAGTTACAAGTATTGATTTTGTAGGGATTTTGTTTGATTGCATGGAGGATTTAATCATGAGCTGACATCAGTTAGAGAACCACTGGAAAACCTGGGAGTACTGGACAGCTGTTTCATCCTAGTTTGGGACTCTTCATCAGTACACACACACCGGGATTCTAACCCAGGACCTAGTGGGAAGCCGTGACCAGTAGGGTACAGCAGGTTGAAGGTGAGGCAGTAACTCATCGAAGAAGACATTGCGAATTGGTCGCGCTATGTCGTGAACTGGCAGAAGTTAGAATTCAAGGACCATCGGATCGGGGCCCAGTGGCTCAATGGTCTACGAGCTCGCCTTGTAACCAGAAGGTCCTGGGCTCGAATCCCGGTGGGTGTGTACTGCTGAAGAGTCCCAAACTAGGACGAAACGGCTGTCCAGTACTCCCAGTTGGTTTTCCAGTGGTTCTCTAACTGATGTCAGCTCATGATTAAATCCTCCATGCAATCAAAGTAAGTTTCCCCGATAATGATTATACTTTTACCTTTCTTGTCCAACCTTCCCGTTTATTTGTTATATTTACTTTTCAAATCCCTATCTACATTATTAGATCTGGTTACCATTTTGTATTTATATATATCTGAACCTCCTACCCATTTCGTTTATACTACATCCTTAACCCATAATTATACAAGCTGACTAGTTTTCTAGTAATTATAATCCTATTTTGTCTTTTCTACTCTATCTTCCTGATTATTACACATTGTAATTTTTAATTTGACCTTTGGCCTGAAATATTTCTAGAACAGTGCCACTACCTATCTCCTGTTTATTATACTTAGTAATTTTATTAGTCTGACCTCTGACTGGAAATAATTCTGGAACTTCCTCACACATGCAACATAAATGCATGAATCTACAGCCTAGTTGATGACTTCGTCAAAAAGAAAATTTTCTTCGCTGCAACTGTCTTATATATATATATATATTTTATTTTTTAATTTTGATTACAGCTTGATTCCACACCGTATTTTTGGTACAAGTATGGAATTTTCAGCATGGATATCGTTAGCCCAAATTTTGCAGGCCGACCATAGATATCAGGTGTGCATCGGCAGGGGATCGAACCTCGGACCATGTGCATGGTCGACGAGAATCCTGACCACTGTGCCACCGACGCATATATATATATATATATATATATATATATATATATATATATCCTCTTTAACCAATCACTGAGCGTGTGATTTCGGTTTGCATCGAACAACATGAAATAGAATGTTCAAGTGCATATATAGTATTTTGTTGCTAATGCAGTATTAAACTGCGGGAATAGAATTCAGACGTTAACACCAAAAATAGAATGATTCTTACTATGAGAATAATATTCTGTTGGAACACATTGTCTGTATCACACTACCACAATGTGAGTGAGTACCTTGGTATGATAATGAGCGGTAAATTGTACTCGAAACGTTATCAATAAATATTACTATATAACACTGAGTGACCAGAATGTCCAGAACGTGGTGTGCTAATACACTGCACGTTTCAGATAAATTACGTCTTCTTAATGTTGTTTTCCCTCAGATATTTGCCGCTTTAGGTGTTACTCTTTTTCGCTCAGGTATGTTAGTACAGCGAAATGCAAGTTTTTTTAAATGGATTAGCACCTAATGGTTACAACAGAAACCCCGCAACCAAATAGGTATATAATATATATATGCACAAATGAGTTACATACACGCAAATATAAAGTTGCCATTTTTCCACTCCATTTGCCTCGTTCACCTTCCACAGCTGAATAATAAATATCGCGTGCGGGAATTCTGACAAAACCAACTCGTTGATTTTCCATTATCATTGAGACGAAAACATCCGGTAAACCATCTTGAGGCTAAACGCAATGAAAAACACGCTTACAATCGTAATGTGTAGTATTAGTTTAATTGGAATATACTTTTATAAAATAAGCATTTTTATCATTATAGTAACCTGATCAGTGATTCGAAATTGATAATGAACAGGCCTGGACTGAGAACCCCAGGTGCAACAAATTATGGACCAGAAGCCTTTAGGTTATAAAGCCAAGGTGATAATCCGGTTTATCATTAGTGAATCGAATAACTATTGATGAAATATTAGTATTTTGGGAGGTCACTGATTAAAATCTTGCCCAGGTTCAAATTTTTAATTTCACTTATCATCATTTACTAAATGAATTACACTCGATCAGTTCCATATTCATCAGAGAACCACTGGAAAACCTGGGAGTACTGCACATATGTTTCAGCCTATTTCGGAACTCTTCAGCAGTATGTACCCAACGGGGTACACCAAATCAGGTAAGGTAACAGCTACTCACCCACGACATTGGCTAGCAGTTGTCCCGCATATCGCGAATTGGTGAATTTATGGTCTCGTCATTGAGTTGGGTCCCGGGGGCTGAATGGCTGGCGAACTCACCTTGTAACCGGAAAATCCTAGGTTCAATCCCCGGCAGGTGCGTGTTGCTGAGGTGCTACGAACCAGGAGGAAATAGCTGTCCAGTACTCCCCAGTAATCCAATAGTCCTCCAACTGATATCAGTTCGTGATGAAACCTGTAGCCAAGCAAACCTTTGCAGACCAGCACTTGATAATTCAATATTAGATAAGTTAAACTCATGGCTTTAGCAAACATTTTCATTGTCTAACATTCAGCTAACCTTTCCCAGTTAACAGTGATGTAGACTTTTGGCACAGAGTATTTCATATAGATTTATGGATTATCAGTGATTATATGTACTCCTTAACTTGTTATCTATTAGCCTGCTCCACCTTCGACCACTGGCATAGAGTTGTATTTAAATATACTTAACATGAAAAAGTATCACCTAGACAGCTGTTTCGTCCTAACTTTAGGCTCTTCATCAGTCTCTACGCATAGCGCCACTAAGGTTTGAATGCAAACCCTTCAGGTTATAATCCAAGTGCATTCACCATTTAGGTGCAAAACAGACATTTGGTGACCTATAGATTGGAATTACTGTCATTTCACTGACACCTTCTGACGTTATCCTTGAGTATCTATCGTTTTTGGTGACAAAATGGGTATTGGAATTTATCTAATCTAATCTGCAAGTCAAACCCTTTCATATATAGTATTACAAATTATTGTCGTTCTTCTTTACAAACATACAAGATTGTTGGCATTAGATGCTCGCAAGAGTCAACCAACAAGTAGTCTAGCTGAACACTCTAACTTTTAGTTGAATTCATACTATGTTGTATGAATGAAGTGGTCAGCCAGTCTGTTTTGACGTTATCCGATGTACTCTTAGACAACTCATAAATGTAAGACTATAACTGAACAAAACTGCAGACAGAGGTACCCGAATGTGTTTGCACGCCTCACGTGGTCTGTGGTTCGAGTACCGACCGATACACTACCAGACCTCAGTAAGCCAGTAGTAAGGCCGGTAAAGTGGAACGTTTAAGCGTGAGACAGAAATAAAACCACTGCTGCTGATATGTCAAACCTCTCATTTGAAGCCCTATGTTCCTCTCGAAACGTGAATAAATGAAATAATGATGAATATTCATAAATGTTATGGCCAAGACCTTCACCGTACAATCATTTGATGAAATAATTCGGCTTGTTTAAAAGTGTTTCTACAGTTGCTAAAATAATCTTTGTAGTCCTTTCTAGGTTATATCTGCATTAAAATTACAGTAGGATAACACTCCACCCAATCAGTTAAAAGTTTCCAAAAACTCGAGTACCCATAAGGGACCTTTTACGTACCAGGCTGTGAACCTGAAGTATTGTATGAAGGATTATTATGCAATTTGTGGAACGGAGGCCTACAGGCTGAAAGTCAAGTACTTAGACCAATGAGCCACATCTGGAGATGATCACCAATGAATTCCTTCTCTCTGTTTTAAATGAAGGAAGTAAGTGAATCTAGGCACTGACTGCGATCTAATTAATGCCAAATAAATATCATTCATAGACGAGTACCTATTAGATAGATTAGGCAGTTAGATTCCTTGAAAAAATTCAAGTCAACACTGCTTTGTAACAAAGAAATCATTTATCTCGTAGTATCTGAGTAGCATAATCATTTTTTAAATGTACTGAAATATATTTCATCTTTTTGACAGTCAGAGTATCTAAATTGCTTGAAGGTGAAATTAGTACCAGTGTCGAACCAGTGTCCAGTAGTCCGAAGATCACTGGCAGTTTTAATCTTGCCACCAAGCAATCAATCATTAACCGAACATTAAAAAAATTAAAAAAAAAAGAAAAACTCTCAAGTTTGACCACTGATTGATATCAGTTAGAGAAAGACTGAAAACGAGGGAGTACTGAACAGCTATCTTGTCCTAGTTTGGGACACACTGTCAGTACGCACCCTCTTCACAGGTGTTCAAACCCATGACCTCGTGGTCACAAGTCAAGCTCGTAAAACATCCAGCCACTGGGACCTGACCCAATGGACTTCCTGACTTTGATGTGACTACCAGCCAATGTCATCGGTGAGTATTTGTTCTCACTGCAAACCGTCTGGACCCAACTGGTGTGCACTGCCAATGAGTCCTACACTAGGACGAAACAGCTGTTCACTACTTTCTGCATGTTTTCAATGGTCCTCTAACTGATATTAATCTCCGGTTAAACTTGATATAAATCAAATCACCACAAACCAACTCTTTAAAAAACTACTTTCTCATAATTTGCTTAAAAGTCGAATTGTATCCAACAAATAGAAACATAATACATACACAATTAATTAAACTACGTAGACGTCTGTGCAACCCATTAATATCTTTGATTTTTTCCCCCAACGTGTGCTTATGAACTTGTTTCGATAGATTAATCATATACATAGCCATTCGACGTAGATCCCGGCGTATTCGTCGAGAGTATTCCCGATCGAGTAGTGTAGTACTAGCAGTATCACGACACGATCGAATCGATTCTTGAGCTTGATTGAATTTTTTCGCCATAATCAAGAAAACTGTTCGAAGATAATTTCTTGAATCAGATATTTTTCGTCTAATATACAAGTGTTTAACGCGTTGAATCTGATAATACTGTTGATTGGTTTTGTTATTTTTTTTGCGAAGATTTGGCAAAACAAGGGAAAATAAATAAAAGAAAATTAAAAAATAAAGTCACTATTAGATAGTATTAACAAGAGTGATCCGCTCTGATGAGTGTCTTAATGACGAACTTAATATTATTAAACAATTGATGAGTGGAAACGATTGTCCAGAAAAAAATTCATTAATAAGAATATGAATAAAAAATCAAGGAAGCCCAACGCACCAACAGTTCCGACAAAAGACCTTATTCTTACAAATTCAGCTCCTCAGGGATAACATCAGCGAGATACTAACGCAGAGCCTTGTAAATAATAATAATAACAACAGCTTTATTCAAAACGGTATTTGTGGTACAGGTATGGAATTTTCAGCGTGCATTACAGTATATTGCATCTAATTACCTCATAAATTATATAAGATTTTTAAAAATCAAAGATAAATAAATAAAAATAAAATAAATAAGTTATAAATAAATAAAATAAATAAAAATTAAAAATTAAGAAAAAACAGCGTAGAGTATTATATTTCAAACAATGCACTACAGGATTTGAAATATAAAGTTGATGTGTGGTAGAAGATGAGAACAACAGTGTAATAGTAATGAGGAAATGAAAACAAAAACTAATGGGACTATTTGTTAGAGTGCTGAAATAAGTTGATCATGTCATACCTAACGGATTTCTCATCACATAACAACTGTGCCAGATATGGTATTATGGTATGAATAGCATATACTGCTGCTGAATAACTCTGTGTCTTCAAAACCACTCCTCTTTTGCATTTGGGAGTAAGAGATCAATTGCTGAATTTCGCCTCTTTCATGTGTATCTACCAGTTTCACTGATCCTGTGGAGCCAGTTAACTGCTTAGGCCGTACTATTAGGCGTGTTTCTCACGACATTTACGAACATCACCCTGAGTGGTTAAGTAAAGGTCAAATAAAGTTCATTCAGAGCTATTCTCCTTCATCTGGTGGCTACAGAACACAAGATTGATGTCAACGAGAATTTCAGAGTCATTTACCGCATACCAATTAATATTAACTTCGACATGATAGAGAAGATTTGTAGCTCATGTGGATGATTTTGATGTGGTTTTGTTCTCTGAGCTGGATGGTTAGTTTGCGAAGCTTTCATGACCCTACTGGGTGATATCTTCAGGCAAGGATCCACCAGAGAACAGTTATTCTTTCTCCATGAGTGCCTTCGTCATTCAATCCTACCAAACAGTGTAAGATACAAACCACCAGTCAACTGCCCAATGGGATGGAAATTGGCCGAACAATGTGGAAGACGAATAGTCAAATTAATGATTACAGACGCACATTTTCGGATCAACAAATATCAACAAATTATAGATATCCAAAAAGCAAAATTAGAGAAAACCCTCAACCAAGAACACCTGTCAACGCTGATCACCGCAATTACACTGTCAAGTGGAAAACACAGAGAACAAAGACGAAGAGTCCTCAAAACCAAGCTAGCCAAGATTAGAAAACAACAACCAGACAATACGCCCATAGACTGCGTAGTCAACCTATCAAAACAACCACTATCAAAAATGGAACAACAACTACTACAAAAAGGATTAAACTACAACACCGGAGATGCTTCAAAAACTGATTTCTTCGCTGCCTTTGAATCATTACTCAAATCATCAAACTTGAACGAGGAAACACAGGAAGAGATACGCCAAACAATTGTACCAATGGTCAAACAGAAAAGACAACACACACAACTCAACGCTCAAGAACTAAAGGCCCTCAAAAAGCTGAAAAATAGGAAGGACATCGTCATTTTACCAGCCGACAAAGGAAGAACAACAGTAGTCATGGACAGAGAAGAATACACCAAGAAAGCTGAAGAACTACTCAAAGATGAAGATGTATATCAACAACTCCCAACAAATCCCATACAAACATTGGATAACCGCATCCAAAGGACCTTAAACAAGCTCACCAAAACTGGACAGATCACAAAACAAGACCAATGGCGAATGAAATCCAATGGACCAGTCCTACCTTGATTCTACGGCAGACCCAAAATACACAAGGCAAATATCCCGTTACGACCAATTGTATCACTCCCAGGAACTCCAACATATAATTTGTCCAAGGAATTATACAGAAAACTAAAACACCTAACGGAATCTTGTGATCACTCCATCAACTCTGCTATCCAATTCCTAGAGAAAATCAGAGGCATCCAAATAGATGAACAAGAAATAATGGTATCCTTCGACTTGACAGCATTATATACTTCAGTCGGACAAAAACTAGCAAAAGAAACCATGGAGCAACTACTTAGCAACGACGAACAACTCCCACAACAATCAAAAATGCAACACACAAGCTGGATGGAATGCATAAATCTATGCCTAACAACATACTTCCAATTCAACGGCCAAATATATGAACAAGTCAAAGGAACACCCATGGGATCGCCAATATCAGGTTTGATTGCAGAAGCAGTGATGCAAAGACTCGAAAACATAATTCTACCAAAGATCAAACCCAAGATTTGGATACGCTACGTCGACGACACATTTGTAATAATCAAAAGAAACGAATTAGATAAAACTCACAACTTAATAAACAACGTCTTCAACGACATCAAATTCACAAGAGAAGAGGAATCCGAGAACAAAATACCATTTTTGGACGTCTTAGTCAGGCGAACAACTACAGGAGAATTAGAAACTCAAGTTTATAGGAAATCAACTCACACAGACCAAATACTGAATTACAACAGCAACAACCCAATAGCACACAAAAGGAATTGCATACAAACACTATTCAAGAGAGCAAGGACTCACTGCAGCACTCCCACCTTAAGAAAAATTGAAGAAAAGTATCTCATGGACGTCTTCCAAAAGAATGGATATCCACGGAATTTCATCAAGGTCATCTAGGTTTGAATGAAATTTCCTTAATTTTCTCTTTGCTATTATATTTTTATTATTATAATTTATGGATCTTTAGTTAACTGTAATTCTATGGATCTTAATTAGCAAATCGATATTGTTTAAAAAACATCACTATTGTTATTGAATACTATTCTAGAATGTTCTGTGTATATAAAGATATGTATATATATAATTGTAGATCCAGGAGAAGAAGAAATTATCGAAAAGGATATTCTTTGCTCAATTATTTCGTTTTTTTTTTCAAGATGGTAATCATTCTTATTAGTTGAAAATTTTACTATTTTAGAACTTTCCTCTTGATTAGCTATTCACTATCTTGATACAGACACTTCGACAATGGCTTGAGGTTATTGACCTGATGCTTATTTCGTTGATGGTACTTAGTAGCGGATTCAGCTGACCAGTTTCGAGTAGGAAGAAATGCACATTCTTGAATTTCATTTCTAGCTATCATCCACTGAATAACAAAATGATATTTTATCCGTTATTTGTTGGTGAGTTACTGTGATTCTTATCATTATTGCGTTACGTGTGGAATATTAACCTTCAGTGGTACATCTGTATTGCACTTATTTCTCTGTTATTGATTTCAGTTGGTTTCACACGACCACCAGTAAGCTTTCCTTTCTATTCTGTATGATTTTCTCAATGTCACCTGAGGACGTCCAGTATTATACTGAATATTGAAACAGATGCACATTTAACACATACATAAGTTAATAGGTTATATTAATTTTTCTAGCCTTATCCTAATTTTATTGGTTATTACTGTTTATGCGACAATCATCAACCGTACTTTCATCATAATATTGTGTCGGTAGTAACGTCTCTGACAGCGACACTAGCTGATGTGGACTGGTATCTCACAGGAGACATCAGTTCCTTCAAGGTTGCAGATATGCTTTGTTGGGACATGCCGGCAAAAATGAAATCCAGGTCCATAGCTTGCGACCGATTACCTTCAACCGTCTAACACAAATTCATAGGGTACGCTGCAATAAAGAGCCTCTCAGATTGAATGACTGCATTGTTCGAAAGACAAATGTTTCGCATCTATTTCGATTTCCAGTATTGTAGCGATTTGTGTATTTCAGGAAAAGATAAACTTTAAAGGCCACCTGTGTGCTTTAATTAACTGGCTAGTCAGGGTCAGACTTTCTCCCTGTCTCTCTCTCTCTCTCTCTCTGTATTTCATCAGTATGAACTCTAGGAACTAAAAAAAAATATTTAAGTGCAAAATGAATACTGCATATATTCACAATGATAAATGTTAATGTCAATTACTTACAAATTCTTCACATAACTTTTCTAAAATATTTGGTATACACATTCTAGTACGATGATCTTCAAAATACGCTGTCAAATATAAACATGGTTTCTTTTTGCCAAAATTTAAATAATAATATTCCTTGTCATCTGTTAATGGAATGAGTGGTGGTGTGGTTGTATGACACCAGTCAACGCGTTCTCTATTATCATCTATGAAAATGAAAGTTAAAAATGTTTTTTAAAAAGTTTCACACCAAATAGAATTTTCAGATTTTGGATTCTGTGTGGATGTGGATTAATTTCAGTGTAGTATTTGTCAGTGACCAACATCAGTTGGAGAATCACTGAAAACCAAACGGTACTTGATGACTGTTTCATCGTAGTTTGGAACTCATTAGCAGCAAACACGCATAACACCCACCATGTTAGAACTCAAAGTGTATGGGCCACTGATTTCAGATCCTGTAGCTGAGTGATTGATCGTCTGGTCTAGTAACCTGATTGTCCCGAGTTCACTCCCTGATAAGGTAATGAGTGCGTACCGACAAGCAGTCCAAGACTAAGTTGAAACAGCTGTCAAGCGATCATTGTTTTTTACCAGTTTCCTAACTCGTGTTGAAATCTACGTTAAAATGCTTATTTTAATTTACCTGAATGTACATTAAATCTGGCCTTACTAATCTATTTTTTACTTCACAACGTCTAAAAGCATAAGATAAGAATAGTTTTTGGTGAAGTTGTATTGTCTGAGCTGGATGGTTTAGCCATAAAGGTTTCATCTCCTTACTAGACAGCATCACTTCAAATTGAAGTATGCGCTTATGATGTTGTTTGATAAAAACAATGAAAGCTTTGCAACTAAACCAACCACCTCAGACAACACAACTACGCCAAAATCACCCACTTAGGCTACAAATCTTCTCTGTTATATAAGAATAGTTGTTACTGGGATATTCACTTCAAATATAATTTGTTTAACTTGTATTAAGTTTCGTTTTACTAAGTTGATGATGCATCGGGTTCGGTTTTAAGAAAATTCTTTGAAACTTTGAAAATTTTATTCCATAGGGATTTACATTTAAACAAACATTTATGTGTGGTATTATTAAAATGCAACAACTTACTGGGTTGTATAACTTCTATTGTTTGTGGTTCTACTCCACCTCGTTTCCCATCTAACATATTACCGTATAGTCCTAAATAAATGAACAAATAATCAGCAGAACAATGTGAGGAATTAAAAAGCAAACCTAAAGGTCAACTATTTTTGAACTGTTCCTGTGGAACAGTTCAACTAACAGATTCAATTAAAGGTGGCTAGCCTATATACTTCATCTTTTTGTGTTGGAAGGCTTAATGCTAGTGAGCTGCAATGTACATTTTCCACACAGTCAGTTGACTCTAAATACCGAACACTGCAAACAGTAGAGGTCATTGCGATTCTCTTCAATCGGCCGGAGCTCCGTGTGCAGAAGAAACCTGTCCAGCCACTATTGCTACCCTGGCCTGTTGTCCAACCTATAAACTCATAAATTCAGTATTACTTCCCTTTATTTATCTGATATTCAATCAGTTTAGTGTTTTTATTATTAATGCATATTATCTCTCCCCTACTGATACTTTTGAACTATAGTCACCTATCGATACTATTTTTTTATTCCGTTATATTCCCAGTGGAACATAGGGCCTCAAGCTAGAGGCTTGAAGTTTCTGTTGCAGTAGTGAATATATTTACAGGATGGGGTTGCTAGCCTCCTGACCAACCTTCCCTTTTTACCAGTCTTATTAGTGGCTTAGCAAGGTAAAGAAGTGCGTCGGCTAGGGGTCGAACCCGGACCACATGTGTGGTCGAAGAGCACTCTACCGCTGTGCCGCCGACGTATTATTGATTCAATGTAATTTAAGACAGCATTACTGTTGTTAATACGAATATTTCTTTGATTATTACTGTCACATAAATATAGAACCTGATAACGGAGAAGTTATCTAAAAGAATATTCTTTGATCATTAATCAATCTTTTAAAGTCTAGCAATTTAAAATATTCAAACAATGAATGCTGAAGTTTCCTTTGCGCACTCGTTATTATCATTATTATTCCCTTGGTTTCCGAGTGGAAAAATAAAGCCTCGACAACAAATCTCCACTTTGTTCTATTTGGTGCTGTCCTCTTCAACTGGATTTCCAATTGATCCTAATCTGTCATCTCCTCCTCACACGATTTCCACCATGTCACCCTCGGACGACCCAGTCATCTGGCATTCCACTCATATTTATCAGGATTATTCTCAGTTGTCCAATTCCGTTGACTTTCTATGTTATATGTAATCACTCCACTGGCAGGGAGTCAAATATTGACAAACTTCTGTTTGCTCTTATATTCGAACTGTCCAGACATTATAGGCCACTTTTTTTTATTTCTGACGTCAATTGGAGTGAATACCTTAAATAAATTCTCCGTTGAATGATAACCAATGTATAAACCCGATTCTAAGTGTAAAGGCCAAAAACTATTCATCAGAAATGATACAGTCAGATACTCTGAGTACATACAGTAATAATATTGCGGTTATAAATAGTTGGACTTCCTTTCTAGATTAATATTAGCATACATTTATACAATAATTTCACTCTTACCAAAACTCATTTCATATGAAACTGCTTTGTTCTTAAGGCCAAGATTTTTCTCAATTACACTTGCATCAGAAAAGCACGCGAAAAGGAAATATAAACTTTTCTTTCCAGCAGCAGTCTAAGTGAAAGGAAAATAAAGTGTATGTCTCAAGGTGTGCCGATTTACCAAGATTTAATTCGTTTCACGTTAGATCACAGATTGACATGTGTTAGAAAACCATTAACTGACTTTAGAACAAAGCTGTCTAGAAATCCAGTTTGAAGTTGTCACCAATGGGGCCCATTAAGTCTGCTTTGCAGACAAATAGTCACCAATGAAATTGGCTGACGATGGTGCTGTATATCTCAAATTGATAGAAGTGAGAATTTCATGAGACATACGATTGTCAAGTATTGTTTTTGTAGGGATTTTTTCTGATTGTATGGAGGATTTCATCATGAGCTGACATCAGTTAGAGAACCATTGGAAAACCTGGGAGTACTGGACAGCTATTTCGTCCTAGTTCGGGACTCTTCATTAGTACGCCCCCACCCACCGGGGTTCGAGCCCAGGACCTTCTGGGTTCAAGAACCATTGGATCGGGGCCCAGTGGCTCAATGGTCTACGAGCTCACCTTGCATCCAGAAGGTCTTGGGTTTGGACCTCGGTGGGTCCGTACTGTTGAAAAGTCTCAAACAAGGACGAAACAGCCGTCCAGTACTCCCAGGTTTTCCAATGGTTCTCTAACTGATGTCAGCTCATGATGAAATCCTCCATACATAGGATTGTCTTTTGGTGGCTGAATGCTCAATATGCTCATTTTGGAACATGAAGGTTCTAGACTTGACTCTCAAAGGAGCCACTGATATGTAATGCTGAAGAGCCCTGAACCAAGATGAAACAGGTGCTTAGTACTCGCTAGTTTTCAATGGTTTCCCCACCGATGTCACTTTGTCAACTAACTTGAAAATTGAAATCATTTATATATGTATACAGCTTCAAGCCACATACCAGTAGTATGCGCCTTTTTATTTAAATATACTTTAATTCTTCGTCACACTTACTGATAGGTTTAACAGAGTTCATAAACACTTTTATCAATATTCATTTCTTCACACTGGACAACTGAGTGTATTCCGACCTTATTAACAGGTTATTTGGAGAAACTTTTAAACCTCTGACTTTACTCATAACAAAATCTTGTAGGCAATATCCCCGAAGCTCTGCCGAAGAAAATCCGCACTTGGAAAACAATGCAATCTACAGATCATCCACAAACCTAACAGAGAATATCTTCAGCGAACTCTAGTTATATTACCGTGTCTAACCCTTCTGTAGTCAAGTGAATCACCAGGATGGTTTTATTTTGTGTTCACCTGAAAACCCAAACATAATATCTTTCCTAAAAATACTGCTTATTACACAACAGATCAATTAAAACAGATGCTCTTAGCGCATCAAGCAAAATATCATATGTTGTACATAAATAGTGATGTCAGATGAATGCAATGCATTATTGCGTACCGCCCTGAAAATGCCTTGGAGAATTATTCAACGGAAAACCTGTGTAGAGGGAAAACTGGTCGACTAACTAATCACTGGAGAGTTACTTATACCTTCTTGTTCTCAGCTTTAGTGCTGTTCAGGTATTTTCAGTATAGTTTCCTGTGTCGTCGCAGATAATGTCAGAAAGCACGAAGCCTTTCCCAGAAGGTTAAGTCCACTATCATTGATGGTGCTAAACAACTTAGCTAACTTTGGAAAATCTGGTGAGGATAAAGCTCTATTAAGAATTTCAAAATGTGATTTTGATTACACCAAGTACTAATGAATGTCTAGCGATAGATAAACAAGATTCAAATGAATACTGTCATTTGGTGCATGCTGATTATCAGTGCAACCAAAAATGTTCATTTTTTTGGTTAGAGGAGTTTATCATGAGCTGACATCAGTTAGAGAACCATTGGAAGACCTAGGAGTACTTACTGACAGCCGTTTTGTCCTAGTCTGGGATTCTTCATCAGTTTGCATCCACCACAGGAAGTTCGAAATCAGGACCTTCTGGTTACAAAACAAGCTATCTCGTAGACCATTAAGCCAGTGGGACCTGATCAAATGGCCAGCCCATGGATTTTAACTTCCTCCAATTCATGACATAGTGCGACTACTTCACAATGTCTTATTCAATGAGTTACTGCCTCACCTTCAACTTGCTGTACCCTGCTGGTCACGGCTGCACACTAAAACCACAGGTTGATTGCCTGAATAGGGCCAATTGCGAGTGAGCTTCAGAATAATTTTCAAGTATTGGTTTTATAGGGATTTTGTTTGACTGGTTGGAGGATTTCATCATGGGCTAACATCAGTTCGGAAAATTTCAAATGGTTCTGGCATCCACACTGAGACTCAAACACGGTACCCATCGATGTGAACGTCAGATAGTTATCCACTAGGCCACTTATTATTTCTTAGTTAGATGGGAAGTTAACAGTCCCTAATTTTTGTTTCCTGGCAGCAGTTAATACAGTATGATCACAATCCTTGGAAATTAATCTCTGTCTGACTGATATCAAATGGTAAAAAATCAGCCTTCAAACTAAGCAGCGTTCTCATAGACGTTACATATGAATATCAGCGATCCGTTATTTACTGGCTGACTTCAATCTGAACGTGATAACAGTCGCCTACTAATGCTGTTGGGTTATGATGGGACTATATAACGAGTTTGCCGGTGTCAAAAGCTTCATCAGAATGAAAGAGAAGCTCTAAATGAGCAATTAAACGCCAAATTATTCAGCAGATTAAAAGTTTCTCTTCCAGACATTATAGTCTTCGTTATTTTTGCCTGCTGGCGGCCAGAAATAAAATCTTGTCAGCTTGACGTATCTGCATTGCAGAAAATGACAGATCCGACTGCTGGGCAGTATCACTCAAATGATATCAAACTGACTTCAAGGATCAAGCAAAGTATACACACTGAAAAGCTGCATGCCAATAGAGAACTGGTATTTCAGTAAAAATTCTAATATTTATTGATAAATAGTGCCGTAGTATTTCCTGAAACAGCATGCATTTTCTCATTTTTGCTAACATAAATCTGAGGGCATGATATGAAACCGACCGTAAAGCCCTCCAAAAAAAATGACCTCAACCTAGTTTGAGATGCCTTATTAGGCAGTAGAAGCACCGCACTATGGGATACAACTTAAGAATATATCTTACTGTGAGCACATATTACTGTCCATTTAGTGTTCTTCGCTTTCAACCACTGTTCAATGAAGGATTCAGTTTGACCTTTAATAACTATGATGGTTTTTGATGTTTTAAATTTCTCCCCCCGTGTGCTGTTAAATCTCATACTTATTTGAAGTTAAGCGTTAGATGCTCTCTCCTTGTCAATAATCTCGTGTGTGACAGCCATTGATACAATAAGTGATGACTTCAGTGAAACGACCCAGTTACCAGTTGCACCTTGTAGCTCAGCTTGTAGATCACCAGGTTAGTGATTCAGAGCACTCTTTTCCGAGTCCTGACACGACGCAGACTTTTACTTAACCTTTAGGCATTCACCGTCCACTGCATCAATAACAGTCTTTCGACCCAAGACTATCTAAGATTAGATCGTCACTCATTAACAACCTGCCACTATTCTCCTTCTTATACATTATGAATGGGATTGAAAAGGGAGAGGAGTAGTTGCACAACTAATAAGATGATAAGTGCAGAGTTACGTAACACTCATTCACATGACAGTTGTTCACGGTAATTCCTAGTTTCCATTTAAAGTTGAAATAAAATTAAAATCATTTTTAAAAATCTTATAAAGTCCAACTTACTTCTGAAACAGGACTAGCAGGATATTTACTAGTACCGATTCGAATGACGTCCTCATCTTCCGCTGATTTAATTGTAACCAATATTCGGCCACGATAAGCAACACCTTCTCCAAGGCCTTGATTCAATTCAGCCTCTGGACGAAGCATCTGAGCATAGGAGTAGATGCGAGGTGTTCCGTAAAGATTGATCCATGATGGTCCAAAGTATGGAAAATTGCCTGAGTCAAGTGAATATTAATTAGCAGGGGAAATCAATGGTCGACAGTTGAAGATAACAAATAAGTCAACTGAAAGATGTTCAACAATTTCTCAGAAAAATAAGAAAGAGATACTTTCAAATGAAAATATCAAAAGGTCAGTTTTTATACCGTAATAATTCTGAAGTCTCTAAGAACGAAATACTCCAACTAGAAATGCAATAAATCGCGTTTATGCTCATAAGCATAAGAATTTAGGCTATACTGGAGACATGGTTAGTGTTGTATTGGACAAACTGTTTGGAAAATCTTTTCCGGACGATCTATTTATAATATGTATACGTATTTAGACTAACTAACTAACTTTGTGATTGTTACACGCTTTTCCCCTATATTGTGTATCATTTAATTAGATATCGCCATATCATATGTTGGATTTGACCTTTATTTTTCGCCTGTGTTCCTGTTTAATCTCTAATTGTAATATTTCTCCTTGTGGTTGTGTGTGCAGTGACAATGTGTTGCTTAACGATATGAGTTTGTTTGAACGAATGAAGGTCATTCTGACCTATGACTGTCCATGGTAAGCCTTGGTGTGTGATTCTGTGGGCAGAGCTTTTGATCCCAACTCATTGGGAATATTCTCCTTGATTCTTAGTACTTGTTTTGTACTTAAAAACACACCTTGTCTGTATAGCTGCCTCATGGTACTGCTGAGAACCGCTAAAATACTGGACAATAACTGTTTTTTGTCCCTGAGTTTAAGACTTTTTTGACAGTGCGTGTCTCAACAAAGTTTTGTCAGCCATAGAGTATAACATAGAGATCAGTTTCTTGCGCTCAGACCATAACCGAACAAGTTTGACTGGTACAGGTATAGTTTAAAATGAAGTTCACAGGGTATCACTATATTCTACCAAATTTAGATTCTATTATTTGAGTGGATCTGCATCAATTTCGTTGGGTAAATAAAACTGAAAACTTCGATTGACCTTTATCAATAGCCTAACTTAACTGCTCGCAAAATCGTTTTAAAAATATTTCATCCAACTGGTGAGTAATTGTGCTTTTTCGGAACTTCAGCATACAATTTCTGTTTTGAAATTAGCTCCAAAAATTCAGACTACAATGTAGGATGTGAGACGTTATAGGTGGGAACGCATATCTCGCCTCTCTTGGCTAGGTCGATTTCATTTTGTAACATGAAATGCTTATTAATTCGGTCAAATGTACATAATTATCTGTACTGTTTTGTAATTGAATTATTAGTAATTTCCACACTAAGTACTAAACACAATTTGTATGCTAGAGTACACAAGGGTGGGAACGATTGTAGCATCAATGGTGTATTGTCAAAGTCATCGAGATTCAGACAGGCCCACAGGCTGACCACATTAGTAGTAGTGTTTATATATTCACCAAGGAAACTGTCCTAGTCCGAAGGAAGATTGGTTCCCATTTGCATAAGTGCCTTCATTGCTGTTTGTGACATGACGATATCCACATCATTAATGCGTTGATAGCTGTCGTCTGGGTGATAGAAGTAGATTATTGACTCGCTAGTTAATAATTTTAAGAGTTCAACTGCATTCCGAATACTTTCAAAAATTCTAAACCTTACCTTCTCATTTCTTTTGTAATTTGAACAGTCTTGGCAGATGGCTTAAAACATCATGCAAGCGTTTCATATCCTCATGTTTATCTTTGGTTTAATCTAAAGAAGACACATCGATTGACTGGATTTCCAAACCTTTTCACCTACAAGAGTCATGTCTCCTGAGAATAAAGTGTCCTGCAGACTCCAAAGAAGAATAAGTTCACTTTTTCTGGGCTTCATAGCTCTAGTAGTGCAAATATTTTCTTTTACGGTCTGGGATTACTAGCCTTACACTCAACCTTTCCCATTTTCTGGGCTTAAGGCTGACTAGTATCCCCTTTTTTCAACGCCCTCATTTTTTATATCACTTGAAAAGGCAGTTAGCCACCCTGACAATTGCTGGGCAATCAGTATTCGCATATGATCAAAACTAATTAGCATGATTATTAGTGGAGTAGATAGGGTTCAAGTGGATGAAAGGGCGATCAAATAAAAAAATTAATATCAAGAGGTTTAAAGTAATTGGTGGATGGTGGCTAGCAGTGGAATCCAGGATGCGCATTTCGTCCTACTTGGGACTCGTCAGCTGGATGTACCTGCATTTCTCAGTGAGTGATGATGTTCCCACCGAGGCTCGAACCCGGTGCCCATAGTTTCAAACGCCAAAGCGTTATCCACTAGACCACTTGTGCCACCATCCACCAATTGTATATAAATCAAATCTCCAGACATCGTCGAAGCATCTGCACAAGAAGCCGATATGTCAACCTGAGACCGAACACTTCGGTCCAATCAATCGACGGGAAAATCAAAAATTCAATTCAATAAGGTTTAAAGTAAGTTTGATAATGAACATAAGGTGAAGTAAAACGCAATCAACCAGAGAGAAAATCTCCAGAACAAAAGGTGAAGAAAGTGATTTTACAAAACGACTTAAAACACAGAGTCAGGCTTCCTCTGAATCTCTCCACAACACCTCAAAGAGATGAGGTGAGTGTTAGTGTTTTAAAGAAGAATAAAAGGTAGACCGAACAGGATTACTGCTAATTCTACGCTTTCATCAACAGATCAGTGAACACAACTACACCTGAGCTACAAACCTTCTCTATTATATCTCACTTGATCTGTAGACCAGACAGTCGCCTTTGACACATATTATAGATGATTAAGTTATTTGTTTGCCAGTTAAAACATAGTTTTTGTATCCTAAACCTCCAGTTTATTGATCGTGCAATCTCTAGTCTTATTCGTCTTTTCTCAGGAGCAATATAAATACTTGCCTTGTCAGTCACTTGGCTGTGTCTTTCTGGGTGTGCGTGAACAATATTTGAGTGATCAGTCGTATATTGTTTTATGTTTAAGTAACGACAGAAACAATGTTTATTTAAGGTTTTCAAAAAGACATCAAGCTTTATTAATTTTACCTCCTACACCACTACCCGCACTTTAGAACTCGATAAGTTTAACACATAAGTGAAAATTGCAAATGAGTAAAACAGAACAGAATTGTTATATCCTGGGTTCGACCGCGCAGTGGACTCTTCACTGATGTCGGTCGATTAGTGATTTACATTCACCTTTTGGAGAAGTAGAAAACATCATGGGGTACAATAAGAAAAAAAGTTGTAAACTCCAGCTGACTTACGACCGCCAACATGACACATTATATCACGTATGTCAATTAAACGCGTAGCAATTAATTCGCCTTTCAATCCACCATTTCTAACATTAATTCTTATTGTTCTAGTAAACGAAGGAAAGTAATCACAGAATTCTATTGTTTCATTCCATATTGGATTGTAATTATAGCGTTCTGTTTTAGTTCGAGCCTAAAATATACATAGATATAATCACAATAATCATAATTGTATGATCAATACAAAACATATTGCGAACGACAGATAAATAGAAATAAAAACATTAGGGGTATAATGAACTCAGATCATGGTAGTGTGGTGAGAGCAGGCCGTGAGAAAATATGAGCAAGGCTGATTTAACAACCAATCACAGCAAAGTTAACGTGGCAAAATACGATTCGCAGATAGAGAACTCTATTTGTCGAGGAATCCCGAAACAACCAATCAGAAGCCTGCGTTTGTCTGCCTAACTTCTGATAAACAACCAATCAGATGACTGCGCTTGTCTACTTGCATAAGCTATAATAATGTATGTGAAATATATATAAATACGTGTTGATTTTCATAATAAAACGATCTGTTGCCTGGCCCTTGTCTTCTGTTGTTACAGTAGGAATATGAGAAATACGAGTCTCACGAACCAGGTGTCTTGAATATGATGAAAGTATCTGAATGACCACATAGTACAATCATAGTAAAATAACAATAATAGTCATGATCGAATAGATACGCACCATTCAGCAGTACAGTAGCTGAATGACAAATAATGGTAAAAATGAAACTGAGGTTTTTTTTGACAGATGTACATCATACGTCATAGTAATTCGGACTAGACGTTTGTCACTGTGATAACATGTAATTCTATATTAGTTTGTAAGCGTACTCTAAGGGGGACACACAGTAAAACAGTATTATTTACTGGATAACGTTTCGAAGACAGTCTTCTGTGGCGTGTGCTAATGATAAAACTTATCAATAGCATATAAAGAGATGCCCATCGGCAAGGGATACAGAGTTGTGGAGAAACATGGAAGAGGTGAAAAGAAATCAAAGAAATACATTATGAAGGCCAGAAGTAGCACAACACACAGAGTTTGTGCAAACGGTGATTTGAAGATAAAGTGTACACATATAAACACTGTACAGAGATACTAAATTGCGAATAAAGATTCCTATAGCAAGTCTCTCGTCTTCTGCCGTGACAATACCATCATATGTAACTCCACAGCGTCGATAAATATGAAATTAAAGACAACCCGAACGCAACAATCCGATAAAAGAATCTCAGAGGAATTTTGCACAGGATTGTTGACAGGAATCGGCTTACAACAGTAATCATTTCATGATTCTTCATATGATCGGATGACTGTAAAACTTCATCATTTTTGTCTTACCTTGGTCTTGGTCATATTGCCTACCAATCAGAACAATCTGTTTTCACCGCTCTGGGTTGATTTTCATGTGGTTAAAAAGCGTTTTCGTGATTAAATTGTATCTTAACAGTCATAGGCCAGTCTTTGTCTTTTGATATGTACGTAGCTCAGTGAAGTGGAAGGTACCACAAGGTATCACATGTATAGGTTGTACAACTAGTGAAGTTTCAGTTGATTATGCGAGGATGGAAATTTAGCTAAATCTACAACGGTGGACTCTAATAAGACAAGAGGTCTAGAATAAAAGTTGGTCATGCCAGATAATGCAGCCACACGCACACATACAACCACACGATTGAAGTGATAAAATCCACCTTAGCAAGCAGTAGAGAGAAAGCTTGGTAAAAGGAAATATGCTAACCAAGTCATCTGGGAAAACATCTAGAAATTCCTAATATCCATACGACAAATGGAAAAAAATAAGCGAAACCATGAAAACCAAGTTTTGAAGTGTATTATTATCATCTTTTATTTTCCCTATGGATTTCGTGTACAACATAAGGCTTCAGTAGTATATCTCTGTCTATTTCACTCACTTCTCCACTGTCTTGTAAAGCGGGCTTCACAGTTGCTCACAAGCTACAATTTCCTCCTCACACGATCTCCTCCATACCACTCTAAGACACAAGACTGGTACCGTACTAGTTTGGCTCCACTTGAAAGCTTGGGGTATGACATCACTTGGATCTCTCCTCAGCGTATGTCTAACATGTTTCCATCTTAAGGACATCATATTCAGCTCTAACTGTAAAGTTGTACGCATATTTTTCAGGATGACTTTCAGACTAACTCCCAATATATAGGAATGTAAGGTCCTCTCAAACTTCAATAAAACAAATTATCATTAACGGATTGTGTATGTAAAGTTTATTTTTGATCAATGACGCGTTAGTGTTAAGCAGCTTTCGTCCTTCTGGTTCATTCTTATTGATGCCTAATCAATAATTAATTACTTATTCACAGGTTTATTCTAGAACTACAGAAATAATTGCCACTAGGAATTTTCATACTTCTAATGTATTTATTTATTCACTGAATGAAGTGACACCGAGTTTCAATCTGAACTGGTGTTTGCTGATTAAGCGTAAGAAACTGAAAAATTTTGAACAGTTTCAAAGCCATACCTCACTCTTACTTGTCAACCACTGATTCGCAACATCCAGGCTACTTCATTTATACAGTTTCTACGCTTCTATGTGGTCTACGGTGAATGAAACTTAATTCACTGATTGGCGCCAACGGTACAGAATAAATTTAATACATTCAAACTGTATGCAGCATGTAAAGCACATCGACCGAAGACGTTGAATGCTTTCTACACAGATAGGAGAAGACATTTTAGTAGGGTTTCTCAAGAAGAAAAGGATGGTTTGATTGACTTCCACCATTGTGACTGGTCTCAACAATGAATTCATGTAAACCTCCCGTGTTATTTCCACTTCCAACTTCATTAAACAAAGGAGATATTAGATGTTAATAAAAGACATTTATGATTTCCTCGTTTTCTACCCTTCCTTTGTCAGCACTACTGTTATTATTCATTTCTTCACATTCGACAGTTTTTGGGACTATTTCAGTTGCTCCTTTTAGTAATACGATTTCATTTGTAATAAAAGATACCATTCTACCTGACTTGCTTGAATATGTCTAGAAAAAGCTTTGGTGAGTGTCAAAGGTATGTTTCCCAAAATTATACTAAAGAAATGTGTCTATAAGATAAAATATTCAGAACGTGAGGCCGGGTTTCGGTCCCCGACCAACGCATTCCTTTACCTAGCTAAGCCAGTAGTAAGAATGGTAAAGAAGGAAGGTTGGGCAGGAGGCTAGCAACCCCATCTCGTAAAAATAAACACTGCTACCTAAACTTCAAGACTCTAGCTTGATGCCCTATGTTCCACCGGAAATGTAAAGGAATAAAAGGGGAAGTATTTGAACGCAATTATTCAACTGTATTTGAGTAGCCTAGCTACAGTGGCTTTACTGCATATCGCCGCTAATTGTAGAGTAGTAGTCAGTTGTTACAGTGGTTTAATGACAAGTTACATTTTTCATATTCTCTTTTTAAGTGAAATTTCACATTAAGCATATTATAGGTGGCATTATTCTCTTGAACTGAGTTACATTTGCTTCACTTTTATCAGAAAATCTTGTTTGAAACTGGTATCTGAGCTGTGTAATGGATTAAAGGATGAAGAAACTGCAAAAGTTAAACGTTTATTAATGGATTTTCATGAAATAATGCTGGCACATTTACTGAAACTCACTGATATCCACAGGAAAAAGATGGGGCCACTTCAAAAAAGGAATATGCCATATAATCGTCCGTCTAGCTACATGTCAGTTGATTTCAGTTGACAATTTGACATTAGTCATTACAAACATGTGAGCAGTGTTTACAACATTTTACTATGGTTACAATTTTCTACCAACGAATGAGTTGACTTTAATTTATGTCCTTTTTGACTATGTATTTCAATGATTAATAAAATCCGAGTAATTCTCACAAAAAAGCTGTGGATGACACAGAGAAACGTTCAGTATAATGTCGTTTTGATATTCTGAATACGTTACGATTATTTTAGATATTTTATAATGTGGCCATAATTGCAAATATTTCGTCGTAAATGTCATTATTATTCTTATTCCCACCTATTGACTAAATTACCTAAGGGAATACTGGTTGCAAAAAGTAGAGTACAGCCTGATAGTGAACACCTTGGCTAATTATTACATTCTTAAATACATCTTCATGAAAATAACCTGTAAAGTGTCTAATACTAATCTGTTCAAGGTCACGCTCCCATGTATAAGTTTAACGTTAAGTTATTATTGATTGATTTGAATCTCAGTCACATGATCACCTCTTAGTTATTATTCCATTAAAGCAGAAGGAAGTGTGTGTAATACAAGTACAGCAATCATGAATAGTATCATTAAATAATTAGATTTAATGCATTAAGTAAAATCATTCACTAAATGAATAAAATAATTTTAATACTACTGATAATTGCAATAAATAAAATTCAATGGAAGTTTACTAAAAGCTACAGACTACAGAACGCAACACCTAATCAGTCGAAGATAAGAATCTATTCAAAATTATTACATGATAAGAAAACTCTGAGTCAACTTAAAAAGCATAATATCAGTGAAAATCGCATTAATTTAGCGCATAAAAGGAATTTGAAACAATATGCGAATAGAAAACAGCATTTTCAACGGCATAAACGAGCGGTTACATATCAGTATGAGCAGTCGAAATCAACAAACCAGTATACCGTGGAAATGTTACCTATATTTGAGGAAAATATTGCCTATGATAAATGGATATACTTTCGTGTTTGTTCAAAACCAGTGAGTTTGTTGTTAATAATTATTCTGTTCCTCTTTGTTTTTTTTATAAATAAATGAGGTAATAAATCAAGTGAAGACTACACTATCGTTATAAATAAATATTTCAGCTTAAATAATGCCCAGCAATGGAGATCAGTCAGGCTAAGGATTCACCAGAAAACCTTACTGACAAGTGCCAAAAATCACAGAAAACCTAGGTCCAGGGCTTTCTACCGACTGCTTCCAACCACTTAAAAGTGTAATGAGAAGGTCAATCTTTTAAATGAGTGACTAAATTGTAACTCCACTAATAAGCTTCAGTCGCCACCATCATCACATGGAATGAAGCAGAAAAAAACCAAAGAAAGGGCAAGAGTAAACAATAGGCACCAAATTCAAATGACCTTGATTTGACCAATCAGATAGCTCAAAATTACAAATGGTTGCCAGTCGTATTCCTAGCTGAATGTCTCCTAGATTTGGTTTTCGACTTCTCTGTAGAAAATTTGTTGATAGAGAGGAATAAACATGCATATGTGGAGGGATAATGACTCCGCAAAAGCATTGCCGTGCTATTGATGGTTATACATTCAGATGCAACCAATATATATGACGAAGTCTGTATAATTTTGTAAATCGTACATAGCTGGTGAATTTTTAGACACTTTCTTCTCGAAATCAAAGTTCTCCCTCAGTAATACATTGCGTATATGCAACCAGTATCTGTTACAGCTGAAGAAACAGAGGATACATTGGTTTGATATGTCTACAACCACTTCTATGAGAATCTGGAACCAGCTTTTGCAGCATATTAGAGATATATACATTATATGATTCATTTTTATCATACATATATCGTAGATACACTACCCTGTAAATTAAGCACTACTTTTCACCCAGAAGAATCTGATTGGCTGTTTCAGAGTCGTCTGAAGTTGGTGTCTATTCTCTACTGTTGCTAAAGAAAGCATTTGGACAGTTAGCTTGTGTTATAATTACATTACTATGATTAATTCATTTAGGTCAGAGTCAGCGGTTCATTGGCAAAGTGCTCGTTAACCCCGCACTTGGTCCGGGGTTTCGGTCCTAAGCCTCATTAAGCCCGTGGTAAGACTGGTAGGGAGTGGTTAAGTTTGGGCGTTAATCTAGCAGCCATACTGCTGCCGAAACTTCAAAACTTCAGACTGAAGCTCGATCTCCCATCCGAAACGTAAAGGAATAAAATAATAAATAAATAATAATAATCTCTGAAAGCGAGTATTCATCACTGTCAAGATAAGGGTTTAGTATCCTTGTATTTTATAAAGATAGACTGGTAAGTTCTTTTCTGACCTTGATCAGTAAGTAGTGACTCAGAAGTAATATTTTTTGATATTCTTAGACAATAAACAGCGGCGCTCTACTTTCACCGCTGATGAGTTAGTATATTTGTCCTGAGGACTAGTGGGCTTACGACAGTAAGTAATTCGATATGTGTGGAGATAAATCTATGCAAAACTATTCAGGGTTCTAATATTTCTTTGTCTGACTTTCTTCTGTAAAAAGATTAAAACTGGTTCACTCTTCACTTTCTGAAGTATTTTTCCTAACCTTATAGCTTCTTCTTTCATGAAATGCGATTCATCTTATTCCGGTTTACTGTACGGCTGTTAGACATTGACTCTTAATGTTAGGGATACGCGAAATTAACCAGTTTTGATAATGAATATCCATACAACCTAACTTTACTAGTAGAAACATAATACTCATCATTCCATTGGATTCTGAGTGGAACATAAGGCTTTAGCAGCACCTCTTTATTTCATTCTGTTCACTGAAGTCTTTTTTAGCCGTCACCAAGGGTGTCGGTAATCTTTTATTTCCTCCTAACATGATCTCCTTCATGTCATCCTCAGAAACTCAACTCATCACTTCTCATTTAGCGTGCACTCGAAAGCCCATCCTGAGTGTGTTCTCTTCAGCGTATGTTCAATTCATCTCCATTTCTTTAGGCATATTTGTTGAGTACCAAGTTCTTGTGTGGTGCGTTGATAAAGTTCCTTCTCGCTTATGCTTCTCGATCATCTAGTTTTTATAGTGAGGAGAAGGCAGTCTGTTCGAAATGCTCTTGATGACGGGTGTACGAAGTCTTTGAATCACATAAAAGCACTGATTTGACATTAGTATTGAAAAATTCCTGTCCTTTTCCTTGTGTTGACTGCTGCGGATCTCCCCACTGATTTCAGAGTAGTGAAAACCTGCCTAGGTCTTCTGATTAGTTGGTGGCTTCAACATCCTCATCCGTGCTTTTTATACTTGAAGTAATGCTGGCGAAGTAAGTGGAAGAGATAACTGTCTGTAGGTTTTTTCCACCGGTAGAGACTGATGCTCATGTATCTTCATCGGCCTTGCCTTCTCATTATTCACCAGAAATCATGTTTTCGCTGCCTCTTTTGTCAACTTGTTCGTCTTCTCCTGTAGATCTTCGAGTTTCAGTGACATCAGACACAAATCATCTGTGAAATATCGATCAGTCTAATGTATGCCTGTCTTTCCACTCCCAAAGGTCTGCTCTTGTAATCAGGAATATCATCGGTGAGAGTAGACAGCCCTTTCTTTCCTCTCTCTTTGCCTCAGAGGCTTTGCTAAGCTTTCTGTTGTGAATTATTTGGCATATAATATCACTCACCACGCAGCTGTTGTATGAGGCTTATAAACGCTTGCAGCCCCGCACTCCATAGTATCCAAGTAGTTTGTCAACCCAGATTTGAATTTGTGCTTAGCACTCCCATGATAGGAAATCGGTACAGACAGATGTATGGACAGTACATTATTTAAAAAAGACATTCTCAACACAAGACCCAGAACTACAGTAAGACGATGAAATTTAAAATACATTTTATTGATATACTAAGTGTAGAAAATTGACTTTCTCCATATCAATACTAAGTCCTAAAACACAAAATAATCGAACAAAGAATATCCTTTTCGATAAATTCCTCTTCCGGCTCTACAATGATATATATGTTTATATACACAAAATATTCTAGATTAGTAGTTAATAACAATATTAGCGTTTTTTAAATAATATCGATTTGTAAAGTATGATAAATGCAATTACAGTTCATTAAAGTTGCTTAAATTATAATAATAATAAAGATACAGTAGCGAATAGAATATCAACTAAAATTAGGGAAATTCCATAAAATTCAGGATTATTCAAACCTGGATGGTCAAGGTAATGATAATGTCTGAACTAACTTCTTTTGGATGCATAAATTAGGCTTGTTAATGTGGATCCCCCACAGTCTCAACAATATTTAGTAAATGAACTCTTAAGGCTAAATTGAGATTTTTTGGTATGAGGCAAATGACCCTGAAAGCATGGTTAACATCAATCTTGTGTTCTGTAGCCACCAGATGAGGGAGAATAGCTCTGAATGAACTTTATTTGACCTTTACTTAACCACTCAGGGTGATGTTCGGAAATGTCACGAGAAACACGCCTAATAGTGCAACAACAGAAGACAAGGGCCAGGTAACAGATCCTTTTATTATGAAATTCAACACGTATTTATACATATTTCACATACATTATTATAGCTTATGCAAGTAGACAAGTGCAGTCATCTGATTGGTTGTTTATCAGAAGTTAGGCAGACAAACGCAGGCTTCTGATTGGTTGTTTCGGGATTCCTCGACAAATAGAGTTCTCTATCTGCGAATCATATTTTGCCACGTTAACTTTGCTGTGATTGGTTGTTGAATCAGCCTTGCTCATATTTTCTCACGGCCTGCTCTCACCACACTCGTCCCCCCGTCAAATACGTGCGACTGAAGTCGGCTTGATCTACTTGGTGCAGGCGTCATCGTTGGCTTGTCTCGCTGTATCCATTTCTGGAGCTCGCTGACGTTCACGCGCCTCTCATTGTTCGTCATTGCGAATGTGTCCGCGTAATCCCATCTCGAAGTGACCATATGTGGTCCTTCCCACTTTGGAAACTGTTTGCCTGACCCTGTCGAACATTCGTCAGTATTTCGTCTCACACTTTCATATGCTGCTTTCACCCGACCTCCTAGCAGCGTCCCAAGTAGCAGCTCCATCGTTGACAGATCTTGAACGCCACTCAACTGCGCAGAAGCCTTGAAGTCCTGCCCGAAGATCCATATGTCTCCATCAAAAACAGCAAGGCATAGGCTTTCCATTTGTCGGTAGGCAGCGACACCAAATGTAACAACAGAAGACAAGGGCCAGGTAACAGATCCTTTTATTATGAAATTCAACACGTATTTATACATATTTCACATACATTATTATAGCTTATGCAAGTAGACAAGTGCAGTCATCTGATTGGTTGTTTATCAGAAGTTAGGCAGACAAACGCAGGCTTCTGATTGGTTGTTTCGGGATTCCTCGACAAATAGAGTTCTCTATCTGCGAATCATATTTTGCCACGTTAACTTTGCTGTGATTGGTTGTTGAATCAGCCTTGCTCATATTTTCTCACGGCCTGCTCTCACCACACTCGTCCCCCCGTCAAATACGTGCGACTGAAGTCGGCTTGATCTACTTGGTGCAGGCGTCATCGTTGGCTTGTCTCGCTGTATCCATTTCTGGAGCTCGCTGACGTTCACGCGCCTCTCATTGTTCGTCATTGCGAATGTGTCCGCGTAATCCCATCTCGAAGTGACCATATGTGGTCCTTCCCACTTTGGAAACTGTTTGCCTGACCCTGTCGAACATTCGTCAGTATTTCGTCTCACACTTTCATATGCTGCTTTCACCCGACCTCCTAGCAGCGTCCCAAGTAGCAGCTCCATCGTTGACAGATCTTGAACGCCACTCAACTGCGCAGAAGCCTTGAAGTCCTGCCCGAAGATCCATATGTCTCCATCAAAAACAGCAAGGCATAGGCTTTCCATTTGTCGGTAGGCAGCGACACCAAATGTAACAACAGAAGACAAGGGCCAGGTAACAGATCCTTTTATTATGAAATTCAACACGTATTTATACATATTTCACATACATTATTATAGCTTATGCAAGTAGACAAGTGCAGTCATCTGATTGGTTGTTTATCAGAAGTTAGGCAGACAAACGCAGGCTTCTGATTGGTTGTTTCGGGATTCCTCGACAAATAGAGTTCTCTATCTGCGAATCATATTTTGCCACGTTAACTTTGCTGTGATTGGTTGTTGAATCAGCCTTGCTCATATTTTCTCACGGCCTGCTCTCACCACACTCGTCCCCCCGTCAAATACGTGCGACTGAAGTCGGCTTGATCTACTTGGTGCAGGCGTCATCGTTGGCTTGTCTCGCTGTATCCATTTCTGGAGCTCGCTGACGTTCACGCGCCTCTCATTGTTCGTCATTGCGAATGTGTCCGCGTAATCCCATCTCGAAGTGACCATATGTGGTCCTTCCCACTTTGGAAACTGTTTGCCTGACCCTGTCGAACATTCGTCAGTATTTCGTCTCACACTTTCATATGCTGCTTTCACCCGACCTCCTAGCAGCGTCCCAAGTAGCAGCTCCATCGTTGACAGATCTTGAACGCCACTCAACTGCGCAGAAGCCTTGAAGTCCTGCCCGAAGATCCATATGTCTCCATCAAAAACAGCAAGGCATAGGCTTTCCATTTGTCGGTAGGCAGCGACACCAAATGTAACAACAGAAGACAAGGGCCAGGTAACAGATCCTTTTATTATGAAATTCAACACGTATTTATACATATTTCACATACATTATTATAGCTTATGCAAGTAGACAAGTGCAGTCATCTGATTGGTTGTTTATCAGAAGTTAGGCAGACAAACGCAGGCTTCTGATTGGTTGTTTCGGGATTCCTCGACAAATAGAGTTCTCTATCTGCGAATCATATTTTGCCACGTTAACTTTGCTGTGATTGGTTGTTGAATCAGCCTTGCTCATATTTTCTCACGGCCTGCTCTCACCACACTCGTCCCCCCGTCAAATACGTGCGACTGAAGTCGGCTTGATCTACTTGGTGCAGGCGTCATCGTTGGCTTGTCTCGCTGTATCCATTTCTGGAGCTCGCTGACGTTCACGCGCCTCTCATTGTTCGTCATTGCGAATGTGTCCGCGTAATCCCATCTCGAAGTGACCATATGTGGTCCTTCCCACTTTGGAAACTGTTTGCCTGACCCTGTCGAACATTCGTCAGTATTTCGTCTCACACTTTCATATGCTGCTTTCACCCGACCTCCTAGCAGCGTCCCAAGTAGCAGCTCCATCGTTGACAGATCTTGAACGCCACTCAACTGCGCAGAAGCCTTGAAGTCCTGCCCGAAGATCCATATGTCTCCATCAAAAACAGCAAGGCATAGGCTTTCCATTTGTCGGTAGGCAGCGACACCAAATGTAACAACAGAAGACAAGGGCCAGGTAACAGATCCTTTTATTATGAAATTCAACACGTATTTATACATATTTCACATACATTATTATAGCTTATGCAAGTAGACAAGTGCAGTCATCTGATTGGTTGTTTATCAGAAGTTAGGCAGACAAACGCAGGCTTCTGATTGGTTGTTTCGGGATTCCTCGACAAATAGAGTTCTCTATCTGCGAATCATATTTTGCCACGTTAACTTTGCTGTGATTGGTTGTTGAATCAGCCTTGCTCATATTTTCTCACGGCCTGCTCTCACCACACTCGTCCCCCCGTCAAATACGTGCGACTGAAGTCGGCTTGATCTACTTGGTGCAGGCGTCATCGTTGGCTTGTCTCGCTGTATCCATTTCTGGAGCTCGCTGACGTTCACGCGCCTCTCATTGTTCGTCATTGCGAATGTGTCCGCGTAATCCCATCTCGAAGTGACCATATGTGGTCCTTCCCACTTTGGAAACTGTTTGCCTGACCCTGTCGAACATTCGTCAGTATTTCGTCTCACACTTTCATATGCTGCTTTCACCCGACCTCCTAGCAGCGTCCCAAGTAGCAGCTCCATCGTTGACAGATCTTGAACGCCACTCAACTGCGCAGAAGCCTTGAAGTCCTGCCCGAAGATCCATATGTCTCCATCAAAAACAGCAAGGCATAGGCTTTCCATTTGTCGGTAGGCAGCGACACCAAATGTAACAACAGAAGACAAGGGCCAGGTAACAGATCCTTTTATTATGAAATTCAACACGTATTTATACATATTTCACATACATTATTATAGCTTATGCAAGTAGACAAGTGCAGTCATCTGATTGGTTGTTTATCAGAAGTTAGGCAGACAAACGCAGGCTTCTGATTGGTTGTTTCGGGATTCCTCGACAAATAGAGTTCTCTATCTGCGAATCATATTTTGCCACGTTAACTTTGCTGTGATTGGTTGTTGAATCAGCCTTGCTCATATTTTCTCACGGCCTGCTCTCACCACACTCGTCCCCCCGTCAAATACGTGCGACTGAAGTCGGCTTGATCTACTTGGTGCAGGCGTCATCGTTGGCTTGTCTCGCTGTATCCATTTCTGGAGCTCGCTGACGTTCACGCGCCTCTCATTGTTCGTCATTGCGAATGTGTCCGCGTAATCCCATCTCGAAGTGACCATATGTGGTCCTTCCCACTTTGGAAACTGTTTGCCTGACCCTGTCGAACATTCGTCAGTATTTCGTCTCACACTTTCATATGCTGCTTTCACCCGACCTCCTAGCAGCGTCCCAAGTAGCAGCTCCATCGTTGACAGATCTTGAACGCCACTCAACTGCGCAGAAGCCTTGAAGTCCTGCCCGAAGATCCATATGTCTCCATCAAAAACAGCAAGGCATAGGCTTTCCATTTGTCGGTAGGCAGCGACACCAAATGTAACAACAGAAGACAAGGGCCAGGTAACAGATCCTTTTATTATGAAATTCAACACGTATTTATACATATTTCACATACATTATTATAGCTTATGCAAGTAGACAAGTGCAGTCATCTGATTGGTTGTTTATCAGAAGTTAGGCAGACAAACGCAGGCTTCTGATTGGTTGTTTCGGGATTCCTCGACAAATAGAGTTCTCTATCTGCGAATCATATTTTGCCACGTTAACTTTGCTGTGATTGGTTGTTGAATCAGCCTTGCTCATATTTTCTCACGGCCTGCTCTCACCACACTCGTCCCCCCGTCAAATACGTGCGACTGAAGTCGGCTTGATCTACTTGGTGCAGGCGTCATCGTTGGCTTGTCTCGCTGTATCCATTTCTGGAGCTCGCTGACGTTCACGCGCCTCTCATTGTTCGTCATTGCGAATGTGTCCGCGTAATCCCATCTCGAAGTGACCATATGTGGTCCTTCCCACTTTGGAAACTGTTTGCCTGACCCTGTCGAACATTCGTCAGTATTTCGTCTCACACTTTCATATGCTGCTTTCACCCGACCTCCTAGCAGCGTCCCAAGTAGCAGCTCCATCGTTGACAGATCTTGAACGCCACTCAACTGCGCAGAAGCCTTGAAGTCCTGCCCGAAGATCCATATGTCTCCATCAAAAACAGCAAGGCATAGGCTTTCCATTTGTCGGTAGGCAGCGACACCAAATGTAACAACAGAAGACAAGGGCCAGGTAACAGATCCTTTTATTATGAAATTCAACACGTATTTATACATATTTCACATACATTATTATAGCTTATGCAAGTAGACAAGTGCAGTCATCTGATTGGTTGTTTATCAGAAGTTAGGCAGACAAACGCAGGCTTCTGATTGGTTGTTTCGGGATTCCTCGACAAATAGAGTTCTCTATCTGCGAATCATATTTTGCCACGTTAACTTTGCTGTGATTGGTTGTTGAATCAGCCTTGCTCATATTTTCTCACGGCCTGCTCTCACCACACTCGTCCCCCCGTCAAATACGTGCGACTGAAGTCGGCTTGATCTACTTGGTGCAGGCGTCATCGTTGGCTTGTCTCGCTGTATCCATTTCTGGAGCTCGCTGACGTTCACGCGCCTCTCATTGTTCGTCATTGCGAATGTGTCCGCGTAATCCCATCTCGAAGTGACCATATGTGGTCCTTCCCACTTTGGAAACTGTTTGCCTGACCCTGTCGAACATTCGTCAGTATTTCGTCTCACACTTTCATATGCTGCTTTCACCCGACCTCCTAGCAGCGTCCCAAGTAGCAGCTCCATCGTTGACAGATCTTGAACGCCACTCAACTGCGCAGAAGCCTTGAAGTCCTGCCCGAAGATCCATATGTCTCCATCAAAAACAGCAAGGCATAGGCTTTCCATTTGTCGGTAGGCAGCGACACCAAATGTAACAACAGAAGACAAGGGCCAGGTAACAGATCCTTTTATTATGAAATTCAACACGTATTTATACATATTTCACATACATTATTATAGCTTATGCAAGTAGACAAGTGCAGTCATCTGATTGGTTGTTTATCAGAAGTTAGGCAGACAAACGCAGGCTTCTGATTGGTTGTTTCGGGATTCCTCGACAAATAGAGTTCTCTATCTGCGAATCATATTTTGCCACGTTAACTTTGCTGTGATTGGTTGTTGAATCAGCCTTGCTCATATTTTCTCACGGCCTGCTCTCACCACACTCGTCCCCCCGTCAAATACGTGCGACTGAAGTCGGCTTGATCTACTTGGTGCAGGCGTCATCGTTGGCTTGTCTCGCTGTATCCATTTCTGGAGCTCGCTGACGTTCACGCGCCTCTCATTGTTCGTCATTGCGAATGTGTCCGCGTAATCCCATCTCGAAGTGACCATATGTGGTCCTTCCCACTTTGGAAACTGTTTGCCTGACCCTGTCGAACATTCGTCAGTATTTCGTCTCACACTTTCATATGCTGCTTTCACCCGACCTCCTAGCAGCGTCCCAAGTAGCAGCTCCATCGTTGACAGATCTTGAACGCCACTCAACTGCGCAGAAGCCTTGAAGTCCTGCCCGAAGATCCATATGTCTCCATCAAAAACAGCAAGGCATAGGCTTTCCATTTGTCGGTAGGCAGCGACACCAAATGTAACAACAGAAGACAAGGGCCAGGTAACAGATCCTTTTATTATGAAATTCAACACGTATTTATACATATTTCACATACATTATTATAGCTTATGCAAGTAGACAAGTGCAGTCATCTGATTGGTTGTTTATCAGAAGTTAGGCAGACAAACGCAGGCTTCTGATTGGTTGTTTCGGGATTCCTCGACAAATAGAGTTCTCTATCTGCGAATCATATTTTGCCACGTTAACTTTGCTGTGATTGGTTGTTGAATCAGCCTTGCTCATATTTTCTCACGGCCTGCTCTCACCACAATAGTACGGCCTAAGCAGTTAACTGGCTCCACAGGATCAGTGAAACTGGTAGATACACACGAAAGAGGCGAAATTCAGCAATTGATCTTTTACTCCCGAATGCAAAAGAGGGGGTGGTTTTGAAGACACAGAGTTATTCAGCAGCAGTATATGCTGTTCTTACCGCATTTCTAAGGTGCTGTGTTGGTACCTCGCTGAGGAACTGAGTTTGTAAGAATAAAGCCCATTTAGGAACTGTTGGTAACTTGAGCTACCTTGATTTTTGATTCATGTTCTTATCAATGAATTTTTTTCTGGATAATCGTTTCCACTCATTAACCGTTTAATATTATTAAGTTCCTCATCAAGATATTCATCCGAGCAGATCGCTCTTGGTCTGTGAACCAAACACTTTATCAGATTGCGTTTGTATTTCAAGGGCACGAAGCTGAGAAAATGAGTATACTGACCCGTTGATGTAGGCTTTCTATATATACTTTTTTTTATTGGGCCATCTTTTCTGGTCATAAAGACGTCTAGAAATGAAATACTAGTAGTAAAATTTATTGCAGGATCCACCTCGTTAAATCTATACATTAAAACATTATTTTAGTTTGGAGCAAATGAAGAACAACAACACGCCACAATGGAACCACATAGACGTGTCTACTTAACCCGATCATCATGTTCTCCGAAGGATAAAAACAGGCCAACATTCGATATTCGTTACCATTTAATTGTCTACCTAGACCACTCAATTGTAGCCACTTATGATTTGTATCGGAAACGTACGTATATTTACTACACCGAATTAAATTCGAATTTCTATTTTTGGTCACATAATTCTGGCAATATTGTACTATTTGCATTTCGTCCGTTATCTACACATCAGAATCAATATTTTCGTGTAGAAATCAATATGTTACCATTGCACACAGAATGGTTATCTAATGTGAATATGTTAGATTTTAATTTGAATAATTATCATAAAAATGATATTTCAGTTGGTGCTGCTTCTGTACTAGTCAATTTTCGTTTAAAATTTAAACGCTCTGCTAGTGCACCTATTGAATTTAAAATAAATTCAAATGAATCACTACAATTATATCAATTATATTCAAATATTTTAATGAATACAAGTCGAGATAATGATGCCAATGATAGTAATAATAATGTAAAAGAAGTGAATACCTACTTAGACAGTCATTATAATCAATTAATCAAGATAACTAATCAATTAATCAATTATGAAATATCGAACCCCTTATTAATTTCCGATTTAATGGATGAATTAATAATCTTGGAAAGTGAGTATCAAATGCATAATGCTTCTGAAGGTATATTTTCTAGGAAAAAGAATACTTTGCAGACGGGTGCCGTTGATGACTCCACTTATATTCAAACAGCACAATTAGCTTTAATACGTATAATACCAATAGGAAGCATAATGAATATAACTTGTAAAAGTAATATCCTAAACACACATCGAACTGGTGATAATATTGATTTACGTGTACATTATGATTCAAAATTATGGAAATTCGTCTCTGGATCAATAATTCAATCAAACTCACTTTATAATATAAATAAATTGAAAACTATTCAATTAACTTTAAAAGCTATTTTAGAAACATGGAAAGATTATTATGATTATAATTCATCAATTTTGATTAATACACCTCATGTGAATGATTACACGACTAGTTTACTGTGCGAAATGTATGACAATAATCAACTTAACAGCCAATTGAACCTAATCAATCCGATCGAATTCAATAATCAGGATTATGTACATTTTGCTATAGTACCTAAAGAAATATATCAATCTCTTGTAGAAAGGCAACAGAATAAATACGATCTATTATTTGGTAATGCAAATGTTAGAAAATATTATTCTCAGTACTTTACAAAGCAAAAACATCCGATCATCCGACGAAATCAGTCAATAGGTAGTCAAAATGTCCTTGGTCATTACAGTTATGACAATCATCTTGGTATTTCAGTTAGCAATGATCACGGCCTATGGAGTGTACATATGCTGCGGTTATCAACAATGAAATTCACTGTGATTATTTGTTCTCTTGTTGTAGTCGCCTCACTTATATTGTTTATCATAAGAGAAATAATAAAAATACGTAGACTGCATAATATTCACCAGGACAGTAGAACTTCATCAGCTTTGTCGATATTAAGAAGGAGTAGAGTAACAGAATCAACAACGCCTGCAGCGGGCGAAATGAACCGTAGTCGACCTTTTCCCCCACCACTGCCACCACCACCTAGATGTTCAAGCGTAGATATTTATGGTAAGTGTGTTTGTCATTCACAATATGACAAGTGCTTCTAGTTCACAGTTCACATGTGGAACTTTGTGGCTTATTGAATATTTTTGTATTTCTGGTTATTTTCGATTGAATCGGTATCTTCTGATATATCAGTTTCCATTATGTCCCTCGAGTGGCGCCCGAATGGGTAATGACGAGTTGGGAGTCCGGGGGTGAGATGGAGGAGATCGTGTTAGGAAGAAGTAAAAACTGATGGGTAATCTTGATGGGAGCTAAAAACGTCTGTATAGAACAGAGTGAAATGGAGTTGTGATGTTGAAGCTCTATGCTCCACTGGGAACCCAAAGGAATAACAAATAATATTATTAAGTGAATAGTCGAACATATTTGATTGATATTTCCTAAAAATTGAATTTATGACGCATGTTTCGTCCTATTTACGACTCATTACTTAGATTTGCCTGTATCTTAATGAGGGATGGTGGCCTCAGTGAGATATTTGATATTTCCACTGAACCCCTGAGCTATGAGAGTCACTCCTTGTCTAACGGAGGGCTTTTACTATTATTACTGGTTCTTTGGATTCCGAATGGAAAATAGGGTTTCAACGATACGTCTTCATTTAACTCAGTTGTCTCTTATCGCTTTTAACTAGCTTCGTGACTGCTCACAAGCTTTCGTCTCCTCCGCAAACAATCTTCGGACATGTCACCCTCCGATTTCTGAACTCATCGATTCATATTCGGGTTTCGCTTTAGGTCTCCTCTGGTGTGTGATTTCACCTGAATAACTTTTCAGTATATGTTCATCCTATCTCCATTTCCTTCTGTGTATTTTTGAGCAGTAGGCTGTTTTGATTGCAGAGATGCTTGTTGTTTATACCGTCTGGTAGGCCACTTGACTTGCAATATCGAGTCAGTGAAGCACCTGTTGATGGAAGTCCACAGATTAATGAAAATGCATTTGGTGATAGATGCACCACGTCTTTGAGGCACTGAAGTTACATTTTCTAAGAAGTGTTATCTCTGTTGAAGTTTCCTTTGGTTAAGTTAACTAAACCGAGACGGAAGCTGAGTATTGAACTCTACTTGTAGTCAGCACACGTGAAAATGCTATTGGTAAAACACTTTAGCCTGACTTCAAAGGAATATTTTAACTGATATTTATTAGCAATTCTCATATGTGATTAACATTCCTGTTCTGCATCTAAAGTACATTTCCATTATTAACAGATGCTTGGAGGTAGTCGACACGAAGCCTTCATAGAATTCAGTCAGCAGTAAAGCCTAGACACATCAACTTAAATACTTCATTATGGCTATTCAATACATTTCCAGAGTACCGTATTATTATCATTACTCCCTTGCCTTCCGAATGGAACATAGGGCCTCAACAACACACCTCCACTTTGTTCTGTTTTCTGCCGTCCTCTTCATCTCGGTCCACGATTGACCAAACTCTCTCATTTCTACCTCACACGATCTCCTCCATGTCAGTCTCTCACCGGCGATTCAATAGTCGCTTCCCATTGGGATTCCACTCGAGCGACGGCATGCATTGGGAGCGTGATGGCATTCGGCAGCCTCGTCAATGTATGCCTGATCCATCTCCATCTTCTCCTACATGTTTTTTGAGCCATCGGCTCTTGGTTGGTTTGTTATCACTGTTTCTTATTGTTTATTCTTTCTGGCCATTTGATCTGCAGTATGAAGCGAAGGCAGGTATTGATGCAAGTCCGCAACTTGTTGGAAATCCTTATCGTAACACTCCAAGTTTCTGACTGTGTACCGTGCAGCTTTCCAATTTGTCTGTGTGTTAATAAAAGATGCAGTCGCGAATATTATTGTTATTCCCATTAGTTTCCCGGTAGAACACAGGTTTTCAACTGCACATCATATTTCCATCTGTTCTCTGAAGTCCTGTTTAGATGGCTCCTTGATCGCCAGTTGACCATCATCTCTTCCATGTCACTCTCAGACCCACGCTCAACTCGTTGTCTCCCATATGTCTTTCAATCGATGGCCTGGTGCTCGACGTCACTCAACAGTTTCCTCACAGTGAGACCAATCCACCTCTATTTCCTTCAGTATATTTGTTGAACAGTAAGTTCTTGGTTGGTTGGTTAGTTGGTTTCCAGAGTTCCTTGTCGCTAGTCCTCCCTAACTGATCATGTGATTTCCAGTATCGAGCCAGCAAGGGCAGCTGCTGACAGATAACTGAAGCCTGTAATAAATGCTCTCGATGACACGCCAAGTGTTTGAACCACTCAGAAACGGTGACTTGTTATTAGTATGGAGAACCCGAATTTTGTTTCTGTATGCTGATTTCGGAATTTGACATGTTCATCCCTGCGGTGTGTCCGTATTTGAAACGATACCGCTTAGATAAATGAAGGAAGTGATGTACTCCAAATTTCTCCGGTTGGTATTGATTAGTGCTTATTTTTTGTCGTTGGTCCGTGGGGGCCTTCATTACCTCTGTCTTCTGTATGTTCACTTCGATCAATTGCTGTTGTGTGTCTGTTATCTACTTTATATTTATAGATGAATAACATGAAAATTCAGAAGAATATCCAGACATTAAGTAACAAAGACTAGATTTACTTAGTGATAGGACAAATGAAGATCATTCATCAATGAAAGATAATCTCTTATTTCAATTATTTATCAATATTCATTCCATTTATCCACTTTTCACTTTATTATTATCATTATTATTATCCCACTAGATATTTTCAGAAATTGGTTATATCCTTCACTTGCAAATACTCCACATGGAACAGGCGATGAAACAGTCAGACACCCAGGTATGCCAAACAGACAAAGACGTAATGCACAGTCGACAACAAACTCCTCTAGTCATCTAATCAATGCAGAAACACCGAGTGCATCGAATCCATTGAATGGTGGTAATGGTAATAGTAGCAGCAGTAGCAGTGGTAATTACCCACAGCAACAGTCACTGTCAACACCTGTCCAACCGCATCGACCAAATCATACTGAAGAGAATGGAAGAAGTGTAGTAAATCAGATGAAACAAACAGATCAGGCGACAAGAATGCCGACAACAGACTTCCATGATTTACCACCATCTTATGAATTAGTTGAAAAGTTGAAACAACTAAAAGACACCCAAAACTAAGCGTTTGTTCGCTTGTGCTTGGGCACGCTTTAGTGTGCACATACGCTGCTGTGTATGCTTGTGTGTGTGTGTGTGTTTTCTATTTACATAGAATTCATATCGAAATCTATCCTCCGATCAGTTTGTTTTCTTTTATCTCTGCTTGAAATATTTTCTAGTCTGTCACTTTTATCTTCTTGTGTAGGAACATTCTGAGATTTATTCAGGAAATAAAAATATGCAGATGTGTGCTCTACTAGCCAACCTCCCCCGGCAAAAAATTTCAGACAGAAAGACAATGAAATTATTTATCTGATATGATTAGTATGACCAAAATAACTAAATTCATTAAATAGTTATATACAAAATACTTGGTTTACTTTTGCATTTTTGTTTACAAAAATTATTCTTGATAGAAGAGTTTCAAAGTGTTGCTCGGTGAGAGTATTATTATTAATATTAATCTCGAAGTTCCTATTGATTGGTCACACTGGACCAAAACATCCGAAGACAGCCATTTAAGTAATGAAGAAAGCTAAAACGGCCCTTCAGAGGCGGCCTGCTTGAACATAGGGCTACCAAAAATTCCACCTTACAACATTTTGCAAAATTGCTTTGGTTTGCTCTTTTAATTTTGTTTTAATTTATCAATAATGTGTCCTAATCGTATTATATATAATCGCGCATTTTTAAAATCATTACAACCTACCGCGTTGTGTCATCCACAAAAATTGAGAAAAAAGCATCACTGTGGCTGGCAGCGTGCACTGAAACGTACACAAATTAATCAAATGACTGTTCCTGAACTCGTTAGCACTAATTGTAGATCCCTGTCCAACAAAATGGATTACCTTCAATCCCTAATGTATTCCAATGTTTATCGAAATGCTGGCGTTTTAGCAATACAAGAGACTTGGCTGCACCAGCATTATGATGATAATCTAATTTCAATAAATGGATATAAAGTTTTTCGCCAAGATAGAAATAGTTCCAAGAAAAAATATGGAGGAGGGGTAGCCACATATATAAACACAAATTGGTCTACATCAAATCACGTTTGCTTCAATTATTCTAATGACAGTATAGATTGCATAACCGTCAGGTGTCGCCCAAAACACTTAAGTAAATATTCTTATATATACATAACCCAATTGTAGCCTTTCTAATATAGTTATGTTTGCAGATGAGTTTACTGAATTCGCTGCTCCTGCATTCGGAAACTCGTTGTCTATAGTCTGTGGTGATTTTAATTTATGTGATCACAGCTTTCTTACTTCGCTTGGTCATGAGAATCTAGTCAAGTTTAATACACGTCTGGACAAATCACTAGACCTGGTTTTCATAAATGACCGTGATGTATATGAAACCCGAAGGAGAGCTCCTTTGCTAAATTCTGACCACTGCATTATTCGTATTTTACCGAAAGTGTACGGCAAGTTACAACAAAAATTGTTTAGTCATTTAACAAAGAAGATACATGAACGTTCATATTCCCATGACAACATTCTAGCATTAAGAAGCATGTTGCATGATACCAACTGGGAACTGTTTACTGACGATAAGTTGGATGCTACTGTCTCTAATATAACCGATTATCTGAAGTTTTGTTTGGATATTTGCTGTCCTTATGAAACACTGTTTTCGAGATTTGACAGAATCTCTTCTTTGCAACTGAAAAAACTTAGAAGACAAAAAGAGAAGTTGTATAAGAATTGTGATAATACTGGTGTCCGTAAAATAAACACCCTTATAAAAATTGAAATAGAAAGGTTGAACAGACTATATAATGAAAAATTTTTATCATGTAAAAATCCTTCAAACATTTGGAAACTTTTCAATAAACTAACAAGTAAAAAACAAATGTCCGTTGATGCTTATTCTGATGTAAATGCTTTAAACAAATCATTTATCAAGAAACAAATTAATATGGTTGTACCTGATGTACCTAGTCAAGAAAATGGTCATTTTCAGGGTTTTGAAGAAAAGGATGTACTATTATGTTTGAAGTCATTAAATCCAACACACAGCCTTGGTCCAGATGGTGTACCAAGCATTCTTCTCCAAAAGTGTGCAGACATCTTGTGTCATCCTCTTACTCAAATCTTTAACGCATCATTTAAGAGGGAAACGGTACCTGCTGACTGGAAAGAAATCAAGGTTGTACCTGTACAGAAATCATCTTCTGGAGCAGGTATAAAGTTTAGACCAGTCGCTATAACATCTCCTTTTTTGAAAACTATGGAGAAACTTCTTTTGAATATTCTTAAACCTTCTTTAAAAGCTTTTAGTGACCCTAAGCAGTTTGCTTATAAGTGTGGAAGAAGTACATTAGATGCAGCCATTGTACTACACCACAATATTGTTTCCTGCCTTGATAAGGGCGCTAAGTTCGTTCGAACAGCTTTCTTAGACTATACTGCAGCTTTCGACTCTGTTCCTAGGACACTTTTATTAGGAAAGATGATTTCAGCACAAACAGAGTCCTGGGCAACTAGATGGCTGTCTTCTTATTTTAAGGATAGGAAACAGCATACTGTTTTGGCTGGAAAGCGCTCCACTTCCCAGCTAACTGAAAGTGGTGTGCCTCAAGGTGCAGTACTTTCTCCATTTCTTTTCTCTTTCTTTCTGCATGACCTTCCGAACTCACCCAAAGTTAACTTCATTAAGTATGCTGATGACCTGACCGTTTCTGTCCCTGTAGTTGCCACATCGGATTGTTCCTATATGAATGGCTTCCTAGCTGAAGTTAAGGATTGGTCTCGCTCAAATGGTCTTAAACTAAATCCAACTAAATGTAACACTGTTGATTTCAGCTTGAGAAGTGAAAAAGACATGCATGGATTGATTCAATCTCATGATTGTTGTAATATTGATGGTACCATGATTGAGAGTAAGTCAAGTGTTTCTTATCTTGGCATTAGTTTCTCGTCAAATCTTTGCTGGTCGTCTCATATTCTTATAGTTTCTAAGAAAGTTTTCCGTCTGACTTATTACATAAAGAAGTTGAGACACTCAGGTATAACTCAATCTCTTATCATACAATTTATTAATTCATGTGTTTTGCCCATCATTCTTTATTGTTCTCCATTATTCTTCCCTGGGCTACTCAAGAAAGATCATATAATACTACGAAGAACATTGAGGGCTGTAAGTAGGGTCAGTGCTATCCCTTTGACTGAACTAAATGACACTGTTGTCAATAGGCATATGAATTCTTGTAAACACTTAGCTAAAGTTATCTTATCTGATAGTGAACATCCTCTTTATTCACAATTGTTTCCTTGTATCTCTTCGGGTAAGACCAGAAGAAATTTTATAAACATTTATGCTCGTACTACAAAATATAAAAATTCGACCGTTCCATATTTGGCACGAGTATTGTGTGAAGAGACAAATATCAGAAAAGAACTTTTACAACTTTTGAATCAATAACTAAACTATAAAATGAAATGATGCATATTAATGCATGTGTTATTTGTTATATTATTTATTTATTATTCACTATGACCTAGAAATGGTATGATTTTGTTGGGTTTTTTATTTTTATTTATTTTTTTATTATTTTTTCCTATTAACTATCAATATTTTAACATTTTATATATTTATATAATTATAAACAGAGCTAAACCATTGCAATATGTAAAAGAAACGCTGAAAATTCCATGCTGTAAATTGTTATTGTTGTGGAATAAAGTGATTATTATTATTATTATATTATTAAGTGTTTTATCAAGTGTTGGTTTGCAAGAATTTGATTGGTTACAAGTTTGATCACGAGCTGACATCAGTTACAGAACTATTGGGAAACCTGGTAGTACTGGACAGCTGTTTCTTCCTAGTATGGGACTCTTGATGGACCACTGTGTCGGGTTCCAATTGCTTAATGGTCTACGAACTCACCTGGTAACCACAAGTTCCTGGGTTTGCCCTCCAGCGGGTACGTACTATTAGAGAGTCCCAAACTAGCAAGAAATAGCTGGCTGTAGAGTACTCCCACGTTTCACAAATAAGTGTTTATTCATTGATGAAGTAACCTTCAAAGCCTTTAGATGTGGATTTATACTAAATAAAACTCATGACAAGCTATCATTGAATAATGGGGTGGAGAGGAAGTAACATAATTGATACTGTGATTTAAAACGTGATTCTACAAGTATGAAACTAATACTTTACATTTGCAAATACAACGATGAAAGTGAGGATTCTGGAGTTAGAAGAAGCTGGTGGGTAGATGTGAATCAGGTTATCTGAGTGACCACTAGGTAAGTTTGAAGGTGAATAAAATCAGTAAGTATTAAAATGTAAGAAAGGAGTATCTAAGAGGGATAATATTGAATAACTCTGTAAAGGCAGTATCCAACATGTAGGAAGGAGTTTAAAGCTATGGTAAAATAGGACACTGGACAAATTTTTCTGGCTGACACTGTTAAGGATTGAGTTGAGAACTAGTATTACGCTATTTCAGCTGATAATTAACTTGTATTAACCTATTAACAAGCTTCAGGCAAAGGAGACCTCGCCACACTCTACCAAACAACTAGGAACCTATCGGGAAAAACTTCAACACAGATTAAGCCAGTAAAGGATGACAATGGAAAGTCAATCACCATAGAGGTGGAACAGAGAAAACACTGGGCTGAACACTTCAAAAGACTTCTAAATCGACCGCCACCTACAACGCGCCCAACAATACCAACAACGGAAGCATAGCTACCAGTGAACATCGACCCCCCGACGAAATCAGAAGTCTTGAATGCAATCAAGATGCCAACAGCTGGAGAAGCAGCAGGACTAGATGGAATCCCAGCAGAAGCATTGAAAATGGACCCAGAGACAACAGCGAACTTGATGACATCACTACTGGAGAAGGTGTGGAAAGAGGGCAAAGTACCCGAGGATTGGAAGAAAGGAGTCTTAAGTCAATGCAAAAACTGGCGTGGAATTATGCGCCTGTCCATCCCAAGCAAAATACTGAGCCGAATCATCCTGTAGAGAATCAAACACGCCAATCTGGATGAAAAACTTCGACTGGAACTGGCCAGATTCAGGAGAAACAAATCATGTATTGATCAAATCGCCACTCTACGGATCATCATTGAACAGAGCTTGGAATGAAAGTCACTCACCTCTCTATCTCAACTTCATCGACTTTGAAAAGGCCTTCGATAGTGCAGCGTCGATCGAGAAGTGATTTGGCAACCACTTCGCTACTACCAAGGGGTCCCATCGACAATTATACATCTCATCCAACAGTTGTACGACGACAGTGCTGCACGCCAAGTAATCCACAACGGGAAACTCACGGAATCCTTCGAAGTGAGGACGGGAGTGAGGCTAGCTGACTGTCTACTATCACCAATGATCTTCCTGATTGCAGTAGATTGGATAAAGCGACAGAGAACGGGAAATGAGGAAGCAGGCATTAAATGGACTCACACAAAAAACGAACTTGGAGGGTCTGGATTTCGCCGATGATATATGTCTGATTTCCTACAAACTGGAAGATATGCAAGTGAAAAGCAACAAGTTGGCAGAACAAGCATCCAGAGAAGATAGGACTTCAAGTGAACTTAGATAAAACAGAGGTGATGAAGATTCCTTGTCAACCCCAATAGCAACAACAACAGACGACAGTCAGCCAGCATAAATGGGAGGAACCTGAAAGAAACAACCTCCTTCACCTACCCACCTACCTGGGAAGCATCGTTTCAACTACAGGCGGGCGGAACTGACGAGGATATCAAAGCCAGAATCGGAAAAGCAACGCAAGCTTTCATTACTCTTAAGTCTGTGTGGAAGTCAATAGATAATAATAACCTTTTATATAGCCATGCTGAATAGTGTTCAGATATGTATTTGGAAATTGCTCTCTTTCTCTGTCTTGTGCAGCCTACATAACTAGCTGCACAGGTGAATTTGTAGGAAGAGAAAGATTCTTATTTACTCGAGAAGTGGTCTTTATGCCTCAACACAACAACACCTAATGAATGCACAGATATTTGAGATGATGGTCTTTAGAGTTTTCATTTATCGGTCGGTGTAGGTTCGCAAAATTTAAATTGGAAAATATTTGATGCTGATGGTACCACAAGTGGTGTCTATTTTGAAATTTTCCATAATGCTTTTAAATTTTAGCGAAATTCCCATTTTAAACCAAAAAGTTGATTAGTATATATATATATAATGACATTAATGTTTTACGGTTATGTCGATTAACAAGCGCAGAATCAGTTCATCTACTGAAAAATAAGACAAATCTTCACTCAGTCACTTAGTCATCAAACATATTCTAAAATATTCATGGTTGCTGGGATGTGTAATTAAGCTGTCTGCGAAGAAGTTATAGTAGTAACTGTAGTTTATATTGAAGCAAAAAACAATGAATCTGATGAATGTACAGGAAATAAGACAACTTACTGTATGGCCAGCATAAGAAACCTCTACATAAGAGTCAACATTAGGCGTATTTTCTCCAACAAACGCCTTTCTTATTCTATTGCTTATCTCCGTATTCATTGGTGGCAAGTCTTCAGCTTGATAAATGCTGACTTTCATTGACAGCATTATCCTCTTCTGCGGCATTCCAATATGACGAGGGAGAAGTAAATGGCTGGAAGTGAGAAAGAAAAAAAAAATAGAGAAATACTAGTGAATCTAAATGAGATAATTATTGGTGGGATTGTATGGAATAAATAACACCCCTCAGTAGCAGTTTTAGTCGAAATTCCTCATTTAAGCTCCAGGTAAGGTGGTCCAATTGACTCAGCTTCCCATTTCGCTTTCAGTCACCATCTACAAAGTCGAGGTTGAAGACTGAAGGTCAGGCGAAAAGGGGAGCTTAATCAATCAGATGGTGGATGGAATGAACATACGTTACACCTGCCAAGGTTTCATCTTCCTTTACAAACAGTCTCAGCCTAAATAGGTCATGACTGCAAAAGAGACAGTGGTAGTCAAATGGACATATGACACGAATTCATGAAGTCTTTGACTGTTGTCTTGAGCCACATAGACAGTGTAGACTACCCGGCTGTGGTCTTCTGGATACTAAAAATCAATGGTTGGAGATTTTTTTAGAACAGCTAAAAGTCTTCTATAGTGTCGCAGACATTTGCATTCTTTGTCGTTTGATAAAGTTGGAAAGACTTAAAAATCTCACAGATGACTTATGTCTAATGTCATATTAACTCGAAGACTTGAGGGAGGAATTCAAAAACGTGGTAGAAGAAGCAGCAAAGACAGGACTTTCAAGTAAACACAGAGAAGACAGAGATGATGAAGATAACCAACCAACCAACCAACCAACAACAGATACCAATCACTGTCAAAGAGAGAAATTAGAAAAAGGTTGCTTCCTTCACTTATCTAGGATGCATCGTTCCAACAACAGGCAATCGGAACCGAGCTTGCGGCGCACGTTATATTGTCTGTTGCTCTAGGAACTTTATTTTTCGTGCTGGGGAACACCTACTGGTTTGACTTAATAAAGGTGATATTTGATATTAGACCACCTGGTCCAAACCAGCACCGAAGAATCTTTCTCCATCATCTATCAAATACTAAATAAGTTGCCAAAAGCATCCAGGCACCAAAGACTCCAGACAGATGAGGCTATTGCAAATCACCTAAAATAACCGGTGCTCAATGTGCAGAAGAAAATAGTACAAAGTGGAGATGTGTTGTTAAATCTCTATGTTCTACTTGAGACCCAAGCGAAACAATAAATATAAAAATTAACAATGAAATCTCTATCCACTAGTTCTCCATATTATACATCTCCGTCCACTCAAATTCCAGTGCATTTCACTTCTCTAACTATAACTATGTTCACTTAAAGTGTAGTTGTGTGAGCTGATTCAAAGTTACACACTGATAAATGTAGTTTAATCTGGTCAAAACTCCACAAGCTTTTGAAAGTATTTCGAAATATTGGATTCATTACCGCCTTCTGAAAAACAGTCGAAAATAACATGCAAAATGGTTTCATTTAGTTTGAATACAGTAACCCTAAAGTTTAAACAAATAACCATAGTCTCTAAAGTTACCTGAAATCAAAGACAAAGCACATATGTAATTCGCCTTTTTTATGAATCTTATAACCTTTTTATTTTCACCTATACATATGAGTTGTGTCATTAGGCACACTTCGGTTGCCAAACGACTTAAGGTTTAAAACAAAATTTGTTTCTATAATTTGAAATCATCAGCTAGGAGTTGGAATTCATGGGTCATTCTATCCAGTTCCAATGGTCGAATATTCTACCAGCTTGGCTCGTAACCGGAGGGTCCTGATTTCGAACACCAGTGGTGGGAGCGTTCGACTGAAGAGTCCCAAACTAGGGCGAAACAGGTGTCCAGTACTCACTGGTTTCCAATGGTTCTCTAACTGACATCAATCCGTAATCAAACTTGAAATAAAGAACTCAGACTGTTAAATTCTGTTCTACTTAACAACTTTATTTTTATACCATAACGTTTTTTATAAGACTACTTCTGTCAGTGTAGCTTCATGTTATGCTGTACTGATTAATACGCGTAGGTGGAAACCACCCAGAAGTGAATTGAATTTCAAACTACAGTACAAGAAAATATAGCTGTTCAATTCACCATATATCATGAAACATGCATAAAGGCAGAGAAAAAGGGAAGTAAAAAATACGCCATGAAAACATAATAAACGGAAGTGTACGGGAGAAAGAACAGTTAAATGGTGAATAATTAGACTCTAACAAATCTAGAAGATTGAGAAGAGTGAATGAATCTGTATCACTCATAACGGTGTTGAGCTATGTCACCAACAGTCTCCTGCATTTATATTCCGGTAATTTGACAACCTCAGAGAGACAGTATACAACTCCGTATATGGCTCAACCCAGAGTTAAAAGATTTCACGAATTGTTTCTGTCTTGATTTGATCATCCCTAGCTTTTTTCCAGTCCTATATCAGGGAATTTCGGTCGACGAAGAAAGTTATAGGCTGTTATACGTTACGCGTATTCTAGTCATCCCAAGTGATGCAGCTGTACAACATCATAGAGTTATTTTCCCTAAATAACAAACAATCTGTGCTTAACTTCAATGTTACCCGCTATATTATATCACTTAGCATACTCACACAGTCGCCGGATGATCAAAAGACTTGTCTCGTGGCCTGAAGATTCCCTCTTCACTCTCTAGTAGTGAAGAGTCAGAAGCTATGACAAACAGCTTTCCAGTATTCCCTGGTATTCAGCAACTTTCTAAATGATATTAGTATACGCCTAATTTGAGATCAATCAAATCCCTACAAACCAAATTTGAACAGTCACTAGTGACCAACTATGGGATGGAGTTCCTGGAGTCCACGCGAGAAGTCGTGATCGATGAAGTCTACCGAATCAGGTGTGATGACATCTACTCGCAAATGACATTGTCTGGTCATAGATATACTTGGCACTAGTTAGACTTCGTGAGCCACTGGACTTCCTTCCAGTACCAAATAGTTAATAGGTTGCTGTCGTAAATTTCAGGTCTCAGGTTTGATCTCTGTTGCAGCTATAAATGCGGAGTACTGAAGAGCAGCTAATTGGGATGAAACAGCTATCCAGCACTCCATTATCATTCTCAGTAGTTTTTACGAATTGATGTAATTTTGTTATCTAAATTGAGATCACTTAAAATCTCTGGAATGTAACACTCGGAAATCTATCAATAACTGTTTGTTTTAACCCTTTGTTTTTATTTATTTATTTATTATTTTTACCAGTAATAATGATAATATTAACTGTAAGAAGTGTTTCACTAACAAAGAATTAATGAAGAAATTACTACTGTGAAATACTTACTGTTCAATTATTTCATCTTGATCAGGTTTCTCTCTTCGAATTCTCTTAAAAAAGAATTATTGATAAAGAAAATAAATTTTGTTTAAATGTATCAGAGGGTCAACATAACCATTGAGCTATTAAACGCATCATTGTATATATTATATACACAAATGAACAATTCATCCAATGAGGATATAATCCACTGATGCTCCAGTGGATTCTTAAACAATGAATCTTTCTAGACCAGATGGTATATATCACTGATAGTTGGAGACTATTCACTCAGTAAAGCACACCCTAATACTGCTTTCAGTATCTTCATTATCTACCTCTTTCAATAATTCATCACTTCAAGTTGGATAATACTCAATGAAGAGTAAAAGGTTGTAAACAGTGTGGTGTAACTATTTGTCATGAGTACATAAGCTAACTGATAGTGACATTGTAAAAGAAGTCAATAAATGCTAGACATAATGTGATATGGGATTTCTACTGACACATTTTGCAAAGTAATGATATGCCCATGAGTCCACGACCACATTTTCAAGAATTCAGAACTATGGTGTAAATGTTTTTGCAATACTACTCATTTTTCATCGATTTTCGAACTCATATTGATTCCTGAAACTTTTCATTTCTCGAAATGACATTCGTTTCTTTCTAATCTTATGAAAGGTATTCTCACTTCACCTTGAAATGACTCAAAACAACATTGATATCGTGAATAGGCTGAACTCGAGATATTCAAATTAAAGTAGGAAGTAAAATGGCGCTCTCCTTTTTTTCAAAAACAAGAGACGAATGTTTAAATCAATTTAATGCCTTGAAGTTGTTACAGAGATATACTAATTGTTTGTGAAATTGCTACTAGCAAGTATCGAATTTTCAGCATGTGATATCGGTAGCCCAAATTTTGCAGGCCGACCATAGATATCAGGTGTGCGTCGGCAGGAGATCGAACCTCGGACCATGTGTATGATCGGCGAGAGTCCTGACCATTGTGCCACCGACGCACATATATATGTATATATTTAGTGTAATCCGTTGATGGAGTGTATAATCCGATTTTGTGTGCTAAGAATTTAGCAGTATCCAGTTCAAAATTACCTGGACTTATCTTGTGTTCGCTAGCTTGTATTAGTAAGTTATATTGAAAATCTTGACAAGGATAACAGTTCAAACAAAGCGTTCAAATGTGCATACTTTAGTGGTCAAAATACCTAGTTAATCAATAAGTTCCAATCAATGCACAGAATTAATCATTTAGACTAATTACATTTTGATGACCAGTTTGTATATATCAGTGAATTATGCTGAAGGTTATTTAACGATTTCACACTGAGTGGTAAGTGCTAATGATACCTTTTACTTTTAAATTTGGGATCCAACAGTGACGTTAGTGCAGAAGAGAATTCGTCAAAAAGGAGGCATCCACCTCAAAATATGGCACTGGAAGCATTCAGTTAGACTAAGATGCAGCTAAATTTATGCGGACTCTATTCGAGATGTGAGCTAACTGTTCCGCGAGAATTAGACGCCCAGGGAAGTTTTTATTTGTAGAAATCGCAGTGATGCTGAAAGAAATAATTCCAGCGTTTCGTTCAGTGGACTGATTCGAACTTCCCTAGGGGAATTATACGAATCGAATATTCAGATTAATAGATCTCTGTTGCTAATTCACAACCACGTATGTCTATATACATACTAACTGGTATATGAACAGAATAAAGGCAAGTACTGACATGGGGATTTTAGTTAGAGAATTTAGAATTTCTACCATTCCTCTATAGAAATGTGAACCGGTTTGCCGAACAAGACTCTAGAATTACTTATGCTGATTGCCTGTGAGATTCCTACAAAATATAACCAATTTTTACAGAGCAATTATTAGTATTATTATTGTTCCCTTGGGTTCATAATGGAACGTAGGGCTTCAACTGCACGTCTCCACTTGCTTCTGTTTTCTGCTGTACTTTTCACGTGCATCCATGTTAGTCCATACTCTTTCAACTCCTTTTCACACTATCTCCTCCATGTCACCCTTGCACTGACGTCCCACCAGCCGCTTCCGTTTCGGCCTGGTTCCACTCGAGAGATGTCACCCAGCGGCCTCCTCAGCAAGTGTCCAATCCATCTCCACTTTCTCCTGCAATTGGTTCTTGTCTTGTCTGTTCCCATAGTTTCTTGTTGGTGATTCTTTCCAGGCCGGCCATCTGATCTTCAGCATAGAGCAAAGCCAGTTAGTTGTTGATAAAGGTCTGCAATAGGCTGTTGGAAATATCCTTTGTGACCCGCCCGCCAAGTTTCTGATCAGTATAGAAGAACTGACTGACTTGACGTTTGTATTGAAAATCCGATCGAATTTTGTTGTTGATGCTGAGTGATGAAGATTTCCAGATTGGTTTCAGGTTGATGAATGTGTTTCTTGCCTTCCCAATTACAGAGCAATCAGACTGGAACTATAACATATCTCTCTTATTTAAGGCGATTAATCAGAGATAAAGGAGACATATATGTATGCATATTGATTTTCTTCAATTGATTCCAGTCTAATATGTTTTGGGTTGAGAGACAGAAGGCAGTATGAAAAAATTTTAGGAGTCTCTTTAATTCTGTCATCATGATAATACACAATATTGTTGTTTTTTGTGTTAGAAAAGAGGTTGATTACCTTCACTTGTTGTCCTTCTTCTGTCACGTGCATATCAACTTTAACATAACCAGTTGGACCTTTCCAAGGATCTTTTGGATCAATAAGCACTGCCCATTTATTCAATATAGAATGATCTGTATTTGAAGGTGGAAACAGAAATCAATAAAAGGCTGTTTAAAATGGTAAAACAAAAAAAGATAAAGGGAAAGTTTTTTTTAACATATTTCGGTTACTCCGATCATATCCAGTGGGACTAAAAATAGAGTGTTTTGTGCAATACGTCGTTAGCTGTGATTTTAAGTTGAACATGATGTTATGCACAAACACACAACTCCAGGTACTAATAAGGTAAGTTAATCAATTTATTGAATTTATGTGAATTCGATTCCTGAATCCTCTTTTATGTAAGAACTACTGGAATAGCTAAAGACTCTTTAACAGCTGTAACACGCTAGCTTAAAACTTTCCAGCAACATACCAAGTCAATTAAGAAGATCGCTAATATTGAATCAACACAAAATTTATTGCTTCACTAATCGATTTTTTATGTGTGCTAACAGTGCTATTTAAAATAAGGTTAGAGGATTGTTGATGATGGGCTAGGCAACTGAGATCCTAGGTCTCAATCAACCTCGTTGAAAGTCATCAGCAAAACATATCTGCACTATTGATGAAATTGACGTCCTCTGGAAAATTTGACTGTGAATCGTCCAGTGGTGATGCCAGAGACATTATCAGTATTTCTTTGAGTTTCGAATGGAACAAAGGCCGTCGGCTGCACATCGCAAATTCACTCTGTTTTCTGCAGTCTCTTGTACATGGCTTCACGAATGCCCATAAGATTTGCTTTTTGGTAACCGTCTCTGCTCTCGTTCATCCTCTGCTTTATCGTCCTTCTCTCCTCTATCAGCTTCCTTGCCTTTAACCTCTTCTTTCTTCCTGAAAGACAATATCACTGATCTATTTCAGCCATCCACCGACTCCCAGGAGGACTATGACGGTTATATTGACTTTTCACTGGAGGGGAGACCTTCAGGATTTAGTCAGGACCAACATTTTGGTTTAGACGCTTGATACTGGTTACTAATCGCTGAAGAATTAACATAACGCGATAGGTTCTACAAACACCTTAAAAATAGACAAGTGACTTTCAGTCAGATGCATGAAAACTTTATGAAAAGCCGCCTACTGAATAAACTTCACCTAGGGTTTCACTAAAAGACTTTATTAGCCAACTGTAGAATATCTTTGAGAAAGTGTTACGATTGGTTCTTCACTTGTAGTAGTTAGCAGTAGAGTTCATCATACATATTTCGTCCCAGTGAAGACTCACCAATAACTGGTAACCTTATCTCAATTGATGATGCCATGTACTGATTGACTCCTTGATCCTAAACAATAATAACGACCCAATATTGACTGATTTTATCCACAGTTTGGATTTTCTTCCGCTTTATGAATCTGAGAAAAATTAAACCATTCAGTAACCAGTGATGTTAGCACTGAAGGTGTTTTCTGGAGAGATAAAGAAAACTTTTCTGCTAAACTTTAACCAGCTTAGAGAACGCAACCACAATAAATCAAAAACTTTAGAAGATGAGAACCATCTCAATACTGGAGTACAAACAAAATTTTTTGAAGGAATTACTAATGAGATGCACTCTGAACGTACAGTTCACTTCCAACGACACCATCTATAGATAAAAAGATGGTACTGCAATGGGATCTCCGTTGGGTCCACTATTATCAAATTGCTTCATGGTGAGCCTCGAGAAAGGTCCACTAAAGCTGAGCATTGACAATTTATGACTGTATAAAAGATACTTAGATGACATATTCATTATTTGTGGCAAGAGTAACGACCCCAACTTACTGCTACAGACATAAAACTGTTGCCATCCAACAATAAAATTCAGTCTTAAAATGGAAAACGAATCAAAAGTTCCTTTTCTTGATGTGGAACTAACAAAAAGAACTGATGGAACCTTAAGAAGATCGATCCATAGAAAAGCTGTTTGTAATGGTCAACTAACAGGCTTATATAGCTGGGTACTCATTCAACAAGAGCGGAATTTAATTAAATCCCTTGCCATCCACAACCGACGTATCTGTAGTCCCGATGTTTTAGAAACAGAATTAGATCTTTTGAGACAAATCTTCGTCCAAAATGAATGTTCACCAAGATTCATTGATAAAATGTCAAACCAAGAATCTGGAGGAATGAAACTTCACTTGCGCCGAAAAAGAAACTCCACATGAACTTGGATTTCAAGGGAGATTTAGCAAGCGATATTCTCGAGAGAAGGATCACATTATCTCTGAGAAGGACATACTTTGCAACAACGCTAAGAATAGTGTTCTCCAGTCGCCCACTGATCAGCAGAAACCTCAAGGACAAGATCCCGCATCTGATCACTAGTATGTGCATATACCAATTCACCTTGTGCTATGGAGCCAGGCACATTGATCGTTTGACGCGCGCTCTGTCCAAGAGGATTCAAGAACAATATCCAGCATAGTTGCGAAAAGGCAATAGTGGTGATAGAGAAGATCTGTAACTCAACTGGATGATTTGCAATTAATAGTGTTCTCTGAGCTCCGCAACTAAAACCAACCAGCTCAGAGAACACTATTAATTGCAAAGGCAATAGTGGTGCTATAAGTAGTGCGATATTTGAACACCTAGTTAATACTGATCATTCCATTTCAAGAAACGCCTCCTTCAAAGTAATCTACAGAGTCAATAATAACCTACCAAAAGCAATAGAGTTTCGTCTTCTTTGTATCACTGAAGCTCTGGCCATTCACATAGAAAAACCGGAGCTGCGCATACAAAACAGAATTACTCAACCATTTCGACTATCATCGTAACGACTTTGTTGATTTTCATGACTTAATTTTGTTTGTTTACCTGTTCTTTAATTGCTTACAATTCCTGTATTCCTTTACAACTCTTACGTAATTTCGTATTCTCTACTTTGTTCTCATGTGTATTCTGAGTACAACTCAATCATCAAACTATTCATATTATCACATAACTTCATTTTAACAACAGTTAATGACAACTCATCACCTTTGTTACTACCCTAATTTCATTAACATCTAATTTTCTTGACTTGTATTACCAATCTTCACCTGTTTAGTTAAAATAACCCTAACCAATTGTATTTTTGTTTGACAAACTTAATGTACACATACATACAAAATAACATATATATATTTGCGATTGTACAACTAAGAAAATGAATTCGCCGAAAAGAGACTCTTCACTAAACTACGTGTTTTGTTTTCATTAATGGCCTGGATGGGGATTACTCATGAATTAAAGTTTGTTTTTTCACAAATAAATATAACTAAGCTGAAACATACCTTTTTCATTGTAAACTGTCTGGACATCTGTCACAAATTCACCGACTAATTTACCGGGCAACAGACGTGCTAAAGGATGTGATCTCATGTTGAAAGCCTGTAAATAAGACAGAGGCATAATAATTAGTCAATGAATTAGGCAGTTTTTTTCACAGAATACAAGATAATAAACCAACATTATTTATTGAAGGTTAGTATACCTACATGACGACTGATGGATGAACTATTTTGTTCAGACACTGAATGCCAATCAATATCTAAGTCAAGTTATGTCTACCAAAGTTCACCTACTGATAACTGTGTAATGTAACCGTCAGCTATGTGAAACAACGCCATATCCATCCCTGTATTATACTGTTGTGTGATATCAGATACTGTCATCATTCATTCAACAGGCAGCTCTGTATTGAAACTACATGCTCATCAGTTCACATCATTACGAGGTGGCTTTTAACTTTGAGAAAAGCGTTTATGAAGTGTTCCCAGTGAAAGGCTAATGACACAACATCACTGAACAATAAATAATAACAGGTTTTACTTTGGTAACTTCAAATGTAGTGAATTCTTTTGGTTGATATGTGAGAGAATACCAGAGGATGTATTTTTTGGTCTTTTTTTTCTGCTACCATAGTAGTTCCCAGTTGGTTCATTTATGTTCAAACACATCGAGGAAAAATCTCACCCATAAAGACGCTGAATACACGCCCTTTCACTGAAACACATAGTCAGTACAGATTTTGTTAAAAACCGATATCATCGGAAAATAAAAGAGCATTGGAGGGGTGTTTCGCCTTGGATGCGAACTCTTCACCAGTACACAAACACATATGATGGTATTGAGAAGATTTAAATCTCTAAGAGTCAATGTAGCACGTTATGAAAGGCAATCGCCCACCTAATCTTTAGTTGAGCAAACGGCTAATTTTTCTGTCGTTTGGATGAAATAACACAAAACAGCCATAAAATCACGAGACTTCTATGACCACACTGATATAAATATGATGAGTAATTTATTTCGGGGATATCATTCAGTAAATGATATTATACTACTGTATAATTCATGAAGCAAACCCATCGAATATGAAGTGCTGATTAGTATTCCTAAAACTACTTCATTAAGCCTCAGTAATGTCCTCTCAATTTTCCGTTTATAGTAGAAACGTGAACGCTTAATGATAAGGTAAATAATATTCAGTTGGTGGGACAGAATACAGTCGTCGATAATTAGCAGCCACATCTAATAATTAGTAGTGCTAATAATTGATATGTAGTCACATGATGTGTGTTTTGTTTTGACAGTCTGTTATATTTTGCTGTGTGTACATTGATCGATATTTCATTATAACTCACTATGCTTTGTCTGTCCATTAACTAAATAAACAACGTATGACCTTTTCGTCACATGACATTACAACCAATCAGAATCTAATCATGGTAAGATGTCTATCTTATTGGCTCATGTATATTAGTCATTTTCGTATATACTTTCGTATTGTATACTTTTATATACACTTGTTCACACATTTCGTACACTACGCACCCTTCCACTCCCACACTTGTGTGACAGTCATTTTTTTTGCTTGTTTGGAAAATACAAGTATCACCGTGATCGTGGTGGTCTTCTGATATTCCTCTTTCCGTGTCAGGACTATTAACTCACTCAGTAGTACATAACAATAATAATAAAATGACCATCGCTGATTGGCACTAGCGGAAGCAGCTGTTGTGTTCTTCGTATTTTCTGGTAATTTCCTCGTTCACATCAATTTCTCATGAGAGTTTAATTGGCTCGAGTGGTTTTCAACCTCTTCTACCAACTAGTACTACTTCATATTGAAATTAATACCATTTACAAAATAAGTTGTATGAATTGTAACAGGCATTACATCAGCCAAGTGGGAGTCCCCTTCGAATCAGAATCCAGGAACACAAGTAAGCCGTGAAAAGATATGATATAAATTCTTTAGTATCAATGCACATAGACAATTATGGACATCAATTTGATTGGGATAATGTCGAAATCTTAGACAGGGGAAACACCAAAAGTGCCAGGGAATTCCTAGAAGCCTGGTACTCGAACGAATATGCAATCAACAAACACGTTAACATAGACCAAATATACTGAAAATAAAAAGTAAATCAGGTGACCAGAAAGTTTAAAATCCAAGTCAATAGGAAATGGTCAATACATATGTGAAGATGGTTACCGGGAGACGCAATTCTCTCACTCATGAAAAATTTGAATCATTTCACTTTGTTCAAGTGTTAGTTTTTAGGGATTTGATTGGTTACAGGATTTCATCATGAGCTGACGTTAGTTAGAGAACCATTCGAAAACCTGGGAGTACTGGACAGCTGTTTCGTCCTAGTTTGGGACTCTTCATCAGAACGCAGCCCCACTGGCTGGGGGTCGCGCTATGTCGTGAATTGGAAGAAGTTAGAATTCGTGGGCTGGCAATTGGCTCGGGTCCCAGTTGCTTAATGGTATATGAGCTCGCCTTGTAACCAGAAGGTCCTGGGTTCGAACTCCGGTGGGTGCGTATTGTGAAGAGTCCCGAACTAGGACAGTGGAAACAACTGTCCAGTACTCCCAGGTTTTCCAATGATTCTCTAACTAATGTCAGCTCATGGTGAAATCCTGTAACCATTTCACTTTATGCTAAATATTGCGCTGAAGATGTTGTCCAGAAGGACAACGAAAGCTCCGCAACTAAACCAACTAGCTCAGAGAACACTAATTGCAAAACTACGTCATATTCTCCTATAAAAAGTATTACAAAGCATTTTTAGGACGAATAAGCTTCTCTGTTAGCTGTGTCATGATTTATGCATTCTTTGACAGTATAACCCTACTGGACAGTTTTCGATTGTTTTATTTTTGGCTTACATTCCTGGGGATTTTCGACATCATTCAATCAATCATATTTGTCCATTTATTTATGGCTTTAATTTCTGAGGCTTTGTAAATTATATATACCATTTATTTTGCCTGATAAACGTTATCGTTTTGCTGGAGTTGAATCTTACTTTTGTGTCTGCGTCAGTTGGTGTTATTTTCAAATGATCAGTTGGTTTTGTAATATTGTGTCCGTGGACTCATTCTAGTCAGGTTTAGACGACCCCTCAAACCAGTAACACTCCGTTATAACTAAAACTGTGCGTCAGTGGCACAGTGGTTTGAACGCTCGCCGACCATGCACATGGTCCGGGGTTCTACCCGCGGCCGACGCACTCCTTTACCTCGCTAAGCCAGAAATAATGCTGATAAAGTGGAAAGGTTGGGCATGAGGCTAGCAACTCCATCCTGTAAAATAAATACTGCTACAGAAACTTCAAGCCACTATCTTGAAGCCCTATGTTTCATTGGGGAACGTGAAGGAAAAAAAATAACAAAAACATAAGTAAACAATGAATTTATTGATTGAAACCTGAAAAACAGTAATTAGACAAAAGAGATGGCGACGACTTACTCGAATTCGTATCACTTCAGTCAGTATACTGATCTTTGGTCTAGTAAAATCGAATGCAAAGTAATTATCATAAAATGGACAGTTTGTTGAATACTTTGTCACCGTTTTTTGTACAGTTTTGCCAACAGTCACGCTGATCATTGGATTGATATTTGTTCCACCGAGTTTTCTTGCCTCAACAATAGTAATTCCTAGCTGAAATGGTAAGATAAAATTCAAGTTTCATTATACTGTATTATAAGATATATAGTGACACGCCTATCACATAGCCTAATCAGAATATTACTGGTTCAACGTCAAGCCTACCATCCAAACGGCTGATTTTTCTCTAAGGTAAACACTTACGTTATACAACGAAAAATAATGATCTCAGGGAAAACCAGCGGTTTGGATGGTTTGCTTGAAACTGAACCAGTGATATTCTGATCACAGTAAGCAGTATCTGTGACAAGTGTCCCTGCATTAATGACAGAAATGTTTTACTAATTTTGATTGGTGGTGGCTTTCAGCAGAATCCTATCCAGGATTCGTTATCTGAATCTGAATGCGTCCTCAGAGGGTGATTGTGTCCCACTGAGACCCGACCGATACATTTCTTCCACTGATCTTTCATTCTTCGTTGTTTTATGTAGATTTTATAATCTCAGAATATTTTTAAACAATAATTTCAAATGCTTCAAGTTACAAATGTCATATTTTGTTGGAATTACAGCATGAATGAGTTTATGTGGAGATACTTAAAATACTTTCAAGATAACCCTTTGTAAAAAAATGCATTGACGTGGTTATAATTCTTGTTATCAAACAGAAGGTGAGTTATGAAAACACTTAATTACCTGAAACTGATTGGCCTTGAATATAGTTGGACCAAGTAATGGTTCAACTCGAGGATCTCTGAAATAAACGAAAAACAGCTATACAACATAAGTGATTCAGTTTAATTCCATACAATCGTTAATTTCGTTATCCATGTATATGTCCAAAGAAAGTTCAGAGTTATTCATTTGAAAGAAATTTGGACACTGTGAATAGGATATTCATTGTTGACACTAATCACTCACTAATGTCTAATCAAAGTATCCAATACAGTACTACAGGAGGTCAATGGCGAGCCCAAATAGCTCAGTAGTAACGTCTCTGAGTGCAGCACTAACGGCATGACATGGGTTCGAATATCAGAAGCGAAACGTGTTCCTTCAAGGTTGCAGATACGGCTTGCAGACTGGTGGGTGCCGGCTAGCAAGAAACTTAGTTCAGGTTTAGCTTCTTGACGACTGCCTCTAACTATCTGATATCAACAGTTCAACCAACACCAAGCTCAGAACTGCCAGTGGACATTAGTCCTCCAACAAAAGCGGAAATCCTGAATGTAATCAAGCTACTGAAGGCCAACAGAGAAAGCAGTAGAACGAGACGGAATTGCCCCCCTTAGCACTGAAAACGGATCCGGAGGTCGCAGAGGATATGCTAACGCCATTATTGCAGAAAATTTGTGAGGAAGCAAAGGTACCTACAGATTAGAAGAAAGGCTACCTTGTCAAACTACCAAGAAGGGCTACTTACGCATCCACAAGAACTGGTACGAAATCAAGCTCTTGTCCACGCCAATTAAAACAATAAGTCTCGCCATCCTGCAGATACTAAGAGATGCACTGGATGCAGAACTACGCCCCCGGCCAAAACGAGCTGGATTGTGACTTTTCGCATTTTCATCGAACCGGCTTAGCATAGGATGACAGTCAAATCTCCATCTCATCTTCATCGAATTCACAAAGGCATTTACCAGACGACGTTGACCGATAGGTAATTTGCAAACTACTTGAACACTACGGCATGCAGAGTTCAAGTCTTTATCAACCTCATTCAGTCACACCCACAAGACAATGCCACGTATCAGGTGATGCACAACTGAGAAATCAGTGAAGCCTATGAAGTGCATACAGCAGTAATAAGAGGCTGTCTGCGCCACTAATAAGAAGACCCTAGAATATCTGGATCTCCCGCGTCGATGGTTTATGTCTACTGTCACACAAACTCGAGGACTTACAGCCAGAAATCAACAAACTGACTGGAAAGGCTGGCAGAGAGGACAGAACCCCGAGGTGAACATTGGAGAAGATGGAGATGATGAGAATAAACAACCATCACCACCACCAACAACAAAAACAAGAATTAATCTATACCAACAGTAGGAATCTTGAAGAAGTTACTTCCTTCGCTTATTTACGAAATATCATTCCGCATACACGCATGCTCCACGGATGATGCTATCAAAACTAGACTTGGAAAGGCACAGCCAACCGCCAACACACTGAAATCAGTTTGGAAATCTCCTGAACTCCTCATAATCACAAAGAAGAAGATTCGGATTGTCAACACCAAGATTAAGTCAGTCACTTCTTCTTAATGCATCATAAAGTTGGTCTGAGTGTCACAGAAGGCATTTTGAACAGGCTAGTGCAGACTTTCATCAAGAGGTGTGTTTTATAGCTCCATACTAAAGATATGATGGCCGGCCAGAAAGAATTAGCGGAGGAGAACTCTGGGAACGAACCAACGAAGAACCTATTGCTCAACAAATATGTCGGCGAAAATGAAGATGAATGGGACACATTGTGAGGCGACGGTCTAATGACACCGCGTGCTTGGAAGCCGTATAGAAAACGACGAGTTGGGTGTAGTTCCGAGAGTGACATAGAGGAGACTGTGTGAGTAGGAGATGAGACACTATGAGCAATTGTGTGTCCCGATAAGGAGAACCGTAGAGAACAGGACGAAGTGGAGATGTGCTCCTGTTGAAACTGAAAGGAACAATTATAATAGTAAACATTAATATTGTTAATAACGATATTTATTTGATTGTTACAGTTAAATTAATGCAGAACCTGATGAAAAAGTTATTGGAAAGAATATTTTTTGTTTATTAATCACTTCTGAAATTTTGATGGGTATGTTTAATCAATGTATATATATACATATATATAAGCTGAGATTCTGTAAATTCTTGGTTACTGTCAGTTTGATAAAGTTAATAGCACTAAACAGAAAAACGTCATTAATATCACTTTTGTTTCCACCCATTAGCGAACACAATAATTATTTTGTTAGTGAAATTTTAAGTCGTGGTTATTCTTTTATCAACTGTTCATTTATTTACACTACTTATTATTAATAAGTAGACAAAATGTATTCTTAGCTATATCACTACAAATCCATATTCAACGGCACATTTTTGTTAAAATCGTTTGCGTCTCACCATGTTTCATCATACCATCTACTCGTCAACACTCGTTTGCCTTAAGCAAACCATTTGTTCATTCCAACTCCAAGCATTTTTCATTCTTTTGATTACAGTGCTCTTTACTTGTCTACTTTAGGGAGATTTCGATGATAATATTTATATGGACACCCCACTCTTTGAGGCTTGTAGTTTGTTGGTTATTCTAGCTTTAAATCTCTGGGAAGACAAAATTCACACCCATATAAAGTACAGCAGTTATTACTAACCGATCTGATAGTAGTAGGTGGAAACTAACTACACTAACCAGCAATGGGTGCTAACAGGATCAAGAAGGTCAACTGAATAACCATATAGAGGTTTAAATATATCTGTTTTCTCAATGAAAGTGAAAACAAAATAGTATAAGCTTTCAAAGGGAAACAGAAGTTCATATATATATATATATATATATATATCAATGTAATTTTTTATTACACTGGAAAACGGTTTTCCACCCAGATCAAAAGACAAGAATCCTAAGCCAGAAGAACTCAACTCAGTAAGCCCAGGTCACCTGAAGAAAAATTTGGTTGCTAGATCTCGAATTTAAAGTTACACTGAGATGAAAAACCGCAAAGCAGCTTTTAAACTCTCGCACTGAAACATACTTCGCTGTCAGCCGACGAATTAAATTCTCTTGTAATAAATAATTTTCTCTGTATTATAAATACGATTGTACAGCTTGGATATGAAATCGTCGAAATATTTTCCCAATTTTGACATCAGTTAGAAGACCAGTGAGAACCACCGAAGTGTACTGAACAGCTTCTTCATCATCCTTGAGGGCTCATCGGCATAGCACATCCACTCCAGAGACTCGAGCCCAGGACCTTCCGGGCACAAGGTAACCTCGTATACTAACCATCCAGCCACCCATAGATGGTACATTGACCAACCCTTTGAATTCTAATTTCTCCTAATTCGTGATTTTAGCGCTACTGGCACCAGCCAACGTTTTCCTTGGCAAGTATTCGTCCTTCCCACCGACCGAGTGGACCCAACTTATCGTGACTTGTTACTAGACCTTCAGGCGATTTCGTATTGCAGCCAGTCACTAGAGAGTTTCTTTTTAGTGATTTGATTTGAAACAAACCAATGAAGACATATTCTTTCCTTATAAGTTGGTGGGTATTTTCTGCAATTGGAAATTATTTCCCAAGTAAGCGTAAGACAGGATGTTTCATCAACATTCAGGTATCATTTCACTTGCCTGCGGAACTGAGTACATTCGGCGTATTTTTCTATATTTTCTCTTGTAAAAAGAGCTTGTGAATGCTACCCAGCCTGGCTAACGAAGGTAGGATATAAGTGTCTTTATTTAGATAAGTTGGCATCTTGTAATTATACGGCACTCAACTCCACTCGAGAAATCATTCAAAGTCTTATCCAGTCAGATGTCTCAAAGAAAGTGGGATCAAGGCATTTGGGCATAGTTGGAATGCTAACGGTGCAAAACTTCAAGTCGAGGCTACCTATCAGAGCAAAGTGCCTCCTTCATAGTTTTTTCTTGCCCTGGCCTGTTTTCTTGAGAGCACTAGCACTTGACCATACTTATTACTTGAGCTTCCTGCCCATATCATCCCTGTTTGTATTACGTAACTTTATCTTGTTATCTCTTATATGGTTATATGTTATACATTCATGAATGCACGACCTAGTTGGTAACTTAGTGGAGAAATAAGTGATTTCGTCTGTGAAACCGTCTTTATGTCTGGTCTTTATGATGTGATGGGTATATTCCTCTGTTTAGTGCCAAAATTACTTAAAGCATGTGCTTTTATTTTTATACAGACAACTGATTAGTCATAGACAATACATTCATAACATAATAAAGTCGGGAGGTGTGCCATATGCGGTGAGATTGAGGGGCTCAAAAATATTGGCATGTCTCTCTCATACATACACCCGACTCGTTGCTTCCTATTCACTTCCAATTGGAAAGCCCCTTTGACCTGTAATGTGTGCCCGATCCACCTTCATTTACTTCTGTCTATTTTCAGGCTAGCCATGATTTTTGGCTAGTTCGCTGTGTACCAAAGTTCTTTTTTGCTTATGCTTCCCTGTTGGTCGTCTGGTTTTCTGAAACGAGGCAGTGAAGGCAGGTTTTGATGTGAGTCGGCAGTAGCCTGTAGGAAATTTTTCGGGTAACGTACGAACAAAGACCTTGACCCATGTAGACAGATGCACAAACTTGACATTAGTCTCGAAGATTGAATCGAATTCACACTTTGTAAAACTAATTCACATTTTGCAATTACAAAGTTTATGGTGAAATTTCACCATTGTTTCCTTCCAACTGGTTAACAACTACTACTGGTTTATATGAGTGGTATTCAACTGTTCATACCATTTACTCAGTAGTCTACAGTAGGTTAGATGAAGCATTAATGGTAATGATATTTCCAATCAAAGTGACTTTGGATAATTCAGTCAAAGTGTATTAGCCTTCTTTCACGGGAACTCATTCTTGAATTAGACTACAGAGGCTTAATTATAGAATGAAAGCCGCATAAAACGTGGCACACGGCAGCTACAAATCTCAACTTGTCGAGTAATAAGCATTATCAATACTTGCAGTGAGTTAAACTGATCTGTCAATAAGACATTTATTATCCATATATGCATTGGCTCATTGTTTTTATCCTACTGCTTCTGATTTTACCATTTAACTGGCATTAGTCAATGAATGACATGTAACTAATCACGACTGGCGGTGGGAAACACTCATGAAATGTGGTGTCAAATGCAAATTATACAGTTCATGGTGAAGCTTTGTACTACTTGTTTCCAAAAAGAAAATATTCGGATCAAAGTATACGATCTATTTGATGTTATACATGTTAGTCAATAAAGCCAGTGGCTTTCCAAAATGGAGTATACTAGTAATTGAATAATAAGGGCTTAAAGACCATCCATGACGCTACCTAAATTAAAAAGATCTAAATATCGGACGTCTGTCTCTTTCATTTGCAGCCCAGCTTATCATAGGGATGAGCTTTCAACTCAAACTATGTGACTTACAAATGACGACTGTGGTTCTCTGTATTCGCCAGTGTGTCTATGTGGTTAATGATGATTTGTATGGTTTGAAGTGATCTCTCTCTCTAGGCTGAATCGCCACTTATCAGCTTACTTGCATATGAGTTTAAACCCGGTCCAGTGTCCAGAACACTTCAATCTGCCTAGTAAGCTCTGCCATTTGACGAGTGGGTTTTCTGATTACTGATGTAAGCTGGTTGGTAATTCAGTTGAATGAATTCATATTTTGGAAAAGTAAAGATACTTAAATTTATTATTTCTCAAAACTGACTTTGATAAATACCGTGAAAAACGTAGGAATAAGAGTAGATTCTGGATCAGGAAGCCACCTGATATATGAGTGAACGGGAGAATTTATGTACACGAGTTAATCAGTCTTTCACATTAATATGCTCAAGAGAAATGTTGATAGATTAGGGTGACTTAGGCCTCACTCTGCAAGAACTGGAGTGGAATAATGCTCTTGTCCACACCAAGTAAAATACTAAGTCTCTTCATTCTGTAGATACTAAGAGATGCACTGGATGCAGAACTACAACTCCTATTCGGAACAAGCTGGATTTAGGAAAGGCAAATCATGTGCTGGTCGAAGTGCAACTCTACCCATCGTCATCACAGAACAAAGCATAGCATTTTGATGTGGTTGTGTTCTTTGAGCTGGATGGTTAGTTTGCGAAGCTTTCATCACCCTACTGGGTGACATCTTCAGTGCATACTTCAGTTTGAAGTGAGCTTTTAGATTTCTCCACGAGTTTATTAATCATCTCTCTTGGTGACCTTGGACGTGATTGGTTGTTTTTGTGTGTTTTACACCTTCAAGGTTACTTGTATTGTAACTGATTGTTTCTTTGACTTGAACTTCGACGCTTTGTGTGTGAGATTTCCTTCTTATCGGTTGATAAATTTTGTCTATCTCGATGTGTCTATGGACTGATAATTCACTGGAATACCAGGCTTGTTGTTTTTTCTGTCTAATATTTGAACGTTAACCCAGTCGAATTGATGTCCGTGGTTGTCTATATGTAGTGATATGAGGGAGTAGGTGTCATGTCTTTTGATGGCTAGCTTATGTTCGTGGATACGAAGACGAAGGGGATGTCCACTTTGGTCAATGTAGTGTTTTTCGCAGTTGTTAAAACCTATTTTATAGATGATGTTGGTTTTATCTTCTTTCGTTGTTAAGTCTTTTGGTTGACACGACTTATGTTTAATGTCACACAAAATCGAAGACTTACAGGCGGCAATAAACAAACTGACTGAAGAGGCTGGTAGCGAAGGAAGGACTTTAACTGAACATAGAGAAAACAGAGGTGAAGAAGATACTCGCCAATCAACAATAACAACAACGCTCAGCACCAATCACCATCAACGGGTGAGATCCAACAGAGGTTACCTCCTTCATTCATCTAGGCAACCAGGATCGTTTCAAGCAAAGGCACGCTGGGCAGATGAAGATGTCAAAGTCAGCCAGTCAGAATCGGAAAGGAAAGATACGCACACGCCTTCATCGACATGAGACCAGTTTGGAAATCTCCTGCTTCACTCAGCTGCGAAATGGACAACATTCGCATTTTCAACACAAATGTGAAGTCAGTCAGTCACTCAATCCTTCTATACGGATCAGAAACTAATACTGGGTGTCACGAAAAGGATTTCTAACAAGTTACAGACTCTCTCCAAAAGCTGCCTTCGCTGGCTCCATCTTGAAGATCAAATGGCCACCAGAGCAGAAAGAATTAGTAACAAGAAACTCTGACTGGCAGGTAACAAACCAACCAAGAGCTAGTCGCTCAACAAATCTGTAGGAGAACGTCAAGATGGATCGCGTATACATTGACGAAACCGTCGAATGACATCGCGCCCAATGCAGGCCATCGTTCGAGTGGAATCCCAATGGGAAGCGACGAATGGGTCGTCGGTGCGAGGATGACATGGAGGAGATCGTTTGAGGAGGAGACGAGAGAGTTTGGTCAATCTCGAGCCCAGCTGAGGAGGACGGCAGAAAATCGAAAAAAGTGGAGATGTGTTGTTGAAGCTCTATGTTCCATGTGGAGCCCAAAGGAATAATAATATGAAACTGATACTGGTTCCTTTACTTTCCTAATGGAACATAGGGCCTCAACCTTCGACTTTAAAGTCTCAGTAGAAGTTGTGTTGTCTACGGGACCGGGTTGCTAACTTCACGTCCGACGTTCCCTTTTCCAAGGCTTGCCACCAGCTGATGGAGGCAAATAAGTACGTCGGTTGAGAATCAGACTCCGGGACATGACCATGGTTGGTGAGAATCCTTCTACTGAACCGCCGATGCACACACGTACAACCCATGACCGGAACTTACCATGTACAACGATTTCTTAACAATATTATAAGTCAAGCTTTAAGGATTTTAATTATGTCCTTGAAGTTAACTGTTTGTTCAGGGACGTCTCACTCAAAGGCAGATAGATTAATTTATATCCTTTTTAACTCATCTCTATTTAAAAGTAGAGTACTATTCCGTATTTTGATTGTTGTTATACTTAATAAATTATACAAATTAAATCACCAATCATCTTATTCTGATCTCGTGCTATTGCTTCACACTCACTCTAGAAGTGAACGCTCCTCTGACTTGTATAGAATCTTACTGTCCTAGAAGTCACATGCACACATGATAGGTAATGAGTATTACCTAATTTTCATTTATTTGAAGTAAAAATATACATTTATTAGTCACTAGGACTTGTCTAATGTCACACGTCTAGTCCTTAATATTGGGGCTGACTGAATTCTATCAGTCGAGTTTGTGATTTAGATGCTAAGTCATGCTAGATTTTGTTTGATTTAATGTTTGATTTGTTAATAATATTTTAACTCCCTTGGGTTCCGAATGGAACACAAGGACTCAGCAGCACATCTCCCCTTCGTCCTATCCTCATAACGTCTCTTCAATTGGCCATACGATTGTCCAGCGTCTCTTATCTACTCCTCGCACAATCTCCTCCATGCAACCCACGGGCCAACACTCAACTTGTCGTTTTCCATTCAGGCTCTACTTGAGCGATGGTCTGATACACGACATCGCTCGAGGGTGTCCTCAAAGTGCGACTAGTCCATCCCTATTATCTCCAACATTTTTGTTGACCAACAGGTTCCTGACTGACTCGTTCCCAAAGTTGCTCGTTACTGATTCTTTCTGGCTGGCCATTTATTCTTCAGTATAGGGCAGAGGTAGCTGTTGGCAAGAGATTGGATACTGTTCAAGATTTTCTTCGTGTCATGCTATCCAGGTCTTTGACTCATATAAAAGAAATGACTGGCTTAACATTCGTGTTGAAAATCCTAATCTTCTTGTTTATGCTGCTGATCGCAGAATACACCCACAATGATTTCAGAGTGGTGGGTTCGACATTATCATCCATGTCTCCTGTAGTTGATACGATGATGCTTAGATAAGTGAAGGAAGTGTCCTCTTTCAAATTTCTTCCGTTGATAGTGACGGGTTCTTATTGTTGTCGGTTGGTTGGAAATAATTGTCAAGAAGCCATGGGCTTAGGTTTGTCAGGAGGGATATTAGTTCCTCCGAATTTGCAGATAACCTTACTGAAAGTTACTACCAAGGAAACGAAAAGACATACTACCAGTCAGCTGTAGACCAAATATTCGGCTTTAACTTACATCAAAGTTTTTATCGTCGAATTTTCATTGCTACAATATTAACTAGTGGTTTTAAACTTGTAGTTTATTTGTGATGTGAAATAGCTATATAAATAATTGTATTTTCTGGTCATTCGCCTTTCTCATGCAGAAATAAATTTTACCCTCTCAGTTTGTCTTTTTCTCTTTCTAGTATTTTGAATAATATTCGAATGGTCAGTCATCATATGCTGTCACGTTATGAAGTACTAAGGATGAATAACAACGGTCATTTGAAAGATGGCTGTCAGCAAGTTAGCAGCTGACAGCAATCAAACCAAAAGAAATTACGCTTTCTCGTTCAGTTTTCTATTCAGTCAACCACTAATAATATTTTCGGTCCAAACAAATTATAACTAGCTGAGAAATCAAATTCTTAGACGTTTTAAAATGTAGTAGACATGATAACATCAATTTTAGAAGTAATAGTGTTCGAATAACAATAATCTTACCTTCTCTCCGGTGCAGACAACTGACTGTCTACTTCCCATACGTCATCTTCAGTGATACCGAGTTCACGGTCGATCATCTGGTTTATATCTTCTTCCATAGCGACAAGTGAACTTAAAAGAATAGTCGTAAACATTAATCTTAAAAAGAAATGAGTTCATTTATCAATTCATGTATTTTATTAATTAAGCCATCAACATGTTGGATACAATTAATCAGAATTATGAAATTATTTATTCGTCAGTTTAATGCTTTTTTTATTACACATTTTGTAATCATGCTGAAGAATGTGTATAAATGAGAATGTGAATATCTAGAGCAACTCAAGTTTTATTCTAGAGTTTTGGTCTAAATAGCAGACCTGAACGTCTAGATAACATCTGTATTGAACAAGTGAACTACCCTTATAGGCTTGAATTAGTTCTCTTTTACAACATATTCTCTCATGTTATTTATTCATTACGGCTATCTGTACAGGAGTTAAACATTCCTGATTGTGGTGGACTGGATTACGCGGAACGCTGTGTTTGGAAAGCAGAAAGACAGGAGTACGCCGGACTACTCATAAGAAGACCCTAGAAGATCTGGATCTCCCGCGTCGATGATTTATGTCTACTGTCACACAAAGTCGAGGACTTACAGCCAGAAATCAACAAACTGACTGAAAAGGCTGGCAGAGAGGACAGAACCCCGAGGTGAACATTGGAGAAGATGGAGATGATGAGAATAAACAACCATCACCACCACCAACAACAAAAACAAGAATTAATCTATACCAACAGTAGGAATCTTGAAGAAGTTACTTCCTTCGCTTATTTACGAAATATCATTCCAAATACACGCATGCTCCACGGATGATGCTATCAAAACTAGACTTGGAAAGGCACAGCCAACCGCCAACACACTGAAATCAGTTTGAAAATCTCCTGAACTCCTCAGAATCACAAAGAAGAAGATTCGGATTGTCAACACCAAGATTAAGTCAGTCAATTCTTCTTAATGCATCAGAAAGTTGGTCTGAGTGTCACAGAAGGCATTTCGAACAGGCTAGTGCAGACTTTCATCAAGAGGTGTGTTTTATAGCTCCATACTAAAGATATGATGGCCGGCCAGAGAGAATTAGCGGAGGAGAACTCTGGGAACGAACCAACGAAGAACTTATTGCTCAACAAATATGTCGGCGAAAATGAAGATGAATGGGACACATTGTGAGGCGACGGTCTAATGACACCACGTACCAGGCCATCAGTCGAGTGAAACCTGAATAGGGAACGATGAGTTATACAAGGATCTAGGGGGGAAATGGAGGAGATTGTGTCAGGTGGGAATGAGTGACTATGAGCAGTTGTCGGTCCAGATAAAAGGGACCGCAGGGAACAGGACGAAGTGGATATGGGCTCCGGTGGAAGCGCTGTGTTCCACTAGGGACCCAATGTAACAATAATAATAGCAGTAATAATAATGCGGCTGTCCATCAATTCTATAACACGTGCATAATACTAAGGATTTCTTTAATAAAGGTGAACTTTCAGCTGATTTTCAGAATGAGCCGGCGGGAAGACCCTATTGGCGTTGATTTTGAATTCACTAATAGTCACAGAATAGAGTATCTGAAATCTTCTGGAAGCTGATGAAACATTCAAGAATTTGAACTCACATCAATCGGAAATGCAGTCAGTAATCTCTCATTGTCACTCAGAGTTATACAAAATGTTATTGATTACTATTCTTAATTACTGATAAATATATGTATGGAATGTAGTCATACAGGCTGTTAGTTGCTATTCTCATACTTTGTCAAGGACACTACCTGATTTCCCTCACTTCAGAGCCTGTGGCGCAGGTTCGAATCTCCGCAGAAGCAACAGATTCCATATTTATTCGATGTATCACACAGTGAAATAGTATTATTTACCATATGAAAAGGTTTCAGACACAATTTGTTATTCATAATTATATCAGTTATAATTGTATAACTTCGACATTCGATTTTTATAGTTCTCGTTCTTTCTACCCATTTTTCATACGCATAGTGGAGTTCTCAGGATGTTTAGGACAGACATTAAATTCGATTTCAAGATTGTCATTCTGTCCCATCCTTTTTATTATTTATGTTTTTTGTCTAACTGCAGGTAGTGCTGTATCTAAATTTTTTTCCCCATTTCTTGTACTACAAGGGTCAAATAATCTGTGCCCTGCTAATTAGGCCGATGGACTTCTCAATCATTGCAAGGTTATTAGGTAAACTGTGTTATGTTGTTTCGTAATCTTCACAGAGATTGAATTGTTTAATTATTTAGCCATTCTATAACGTCTGATTAGTAGTGTGACGTGCGCTACCAACAGAATGTATCTGTAGCAGGTTGGTTCATCGGGACAAAAATATCAAATAGTGGAGAAACAAGTTTCATGTCAAAAAGAGGAAATGGACCAGTATTGTGGTAGAACATGGAAAACACGAAAAGAAGGGAAATGGAACGCAAAACGAAGAGCAGAATACCTGTGCAAATAACGATATTTATATGTGGTGTATATGATTTCCCTAAATGGAGATATCAAATTTAAAATAAACACTCCATTGCCAAGTTTCTTGCCTTCTACCGTTACAGTAGCACAAACATCTAGGGAAGTCTACATTAGTAGACCATAATAAGATAATGAATGTTGAAATAAGCTCAGTTGTAACATTACATGCAGTTACACACAAAAGATGGGATAATGTAACGGTCTTAAAATCTGGTGTAACAGAGTGGAGAGACAGAGATAGAAAAACTAGTAACTAAAGTTATATTTATCCAATGAACTGAGGATATATACAATATGGGCAATTTAACACGTATCCAGGACGTATGGAAAATTCTATTTTCCTTATGACAGGTGGGCAGGAAGAATGAGAGCTATAAAAATCGAATTTCGAAGTATGTGATTATAACCGATATGATTATGAACATTACAGTGTGTTCGAAAGGTTTTCAGCGAAGATAGTGATCTTTTCGGTGATATCATTTTCAAAAGCTGTACAAACGCATTTAAATACATAATTTTACATAGATACAATGTTTTCTTGACACCACATAGTTACGAATGTGAATAAAGGGTGACAATTATTTTCAATTAGATATGGTTTACGAGAGGCTTACAAAACAAAATTACACAGGATTATGACGAATTACAGGTGTATAGAAAATGGGTATGGAAACAAATTGAAGTAATAATTTTCAACTCTTGTAAACTACACTCACACCTCCTAACTTCCATTTCAAGTTAAAAATTATTATTTCAATTTGTTTCCATGCCCATTATCTATGCACCTGTAATTCGTCATAATCCTGTGTAATTTTGTTTTTAAGCCTCTCGTAAACCATATCTAATTGAAAATAATTGTCACCCTTTATTCGCATTCGTAACTATGTGGAATCAAATAATAATTGTAGCTATGTTAGTTTTCGTATTTAAATGCGATTGTACAGCCACTTTTTAAAATGAAATTGCCGGAAAGACGGATATTTTCGCTGAACTTCGTGTTCTCTTCTTTCTCATGATCCAAGACGTTTTCATCCAGTATATAATACTAATTCCCCATATGATATATCTAATAAAGACACTATTAGGAATCACATTGGCAATCAACAAATTACACGGTTCGAGGAGGTGAAGTTTTCCCACAGTTTTCTAGGGGAACCAAGATTATTCACGTCAAAAATATGATCTGGTTCATAGGATAAATGCTGATCGAGAAAGTAAGCATAAATGTGCAAAACCACATACTACTGATACTTTTCTTTTTTATTCCTTTACATTCCCAGTGGACCATAGGGCTTCAAGCTAGAGGCTTGAAGTTTCGGTAGCATTGGTGTTTACTTTTTACAGGATGGGGTTGCTAGCCTCCTGCCCAGCCTTCTCTCTTTGCCAGTCGCATTACTGGCTAAGCTAGGTAAAGGAGTGCGTCAGTGGCCGGGGATCGAACCCTGGACCACCTGATTTACTGATCCGAATAATAACGGTTTCCAAAGGAAATTATGGTGAAATTTCTCTTCCTCGAAATGTATAAATTATAGATTGTGAATTTGATTCGAGGCGATGCCAGTTCACTCAAGGAGTTAATTAAAAAATTGTGTGGTTTGAAGTGATTCGTCTCTTTGAGCTAAGTCAGATCTATTTCACATCTGATGGACTCGCAGCCAAACAAGCGAAACGTCTGTCAGTTGTTTAGAACACTTCTATATGGCTAGGAAGTGTGGTTCATGTGGTTGATATAAAACTACTCATTTTAATCGGTCAGTAGTATATAGTTCTATACGTTAAAATGAGAGTATCACTGTAGCTAAGGTTTGCACTATTATTAATGTAACAATTGATTTTTTGAGTATGAACATACACCCTGATTATGAGTTCCATGTCGACTGCCTTCAATCACCTAAAATCAACTCAGTGTATGCCAAGATGACAAGTCATGTAAACTGGTCAACATACTGCAAATTTGACTGATAAAATGTAGTCAGTGACAACGCTGTGGATTAAAAACACATAGCAGTGATGATCAATGAGTGTAAGGACGGATCTTCATCAGATCGTCGTTCATCTTCTCAAAAAAGTTAAAATAAATTTGCAGTTGAATTATTTTTCTCCTTTGTAATTGATTTTTATTCCATATTCAATTTGTCTTAAAGGAATGAATCCGCTTTTTACTCAACTGTCGAAGCATACATATACATATACCTGTCATATGCTTTATTCAACTATGCATTCGTATGCGTTGTTCAAGGGGAATTAGTTTATTCTTGCTAATATAATTAGCATAATATTTATTATAAATATCTTTGTTAATCAGTGGATTTGCACGAAACCATCTTGCAAATTCTTGTCTGTCATGTATAATTAAATGAAATGCCATGCTAAACAAATATGCACGTGCGTGCATTTAAACAAGCACAATAATAACAGATTAAGATTCCTTTTTAAATCTTTTTCAGATATCTGTATGAATTGATCATTTAAAGTCGAATATTAACAATATCAGTGAGACATTTTAATTATATATATATATATATATATATATATATATATATATAGAGAGAGAGAGAGAGAGAGAGAGAGTTTGAGGTCACTTAATACGAAATGCATAAAATGCTATTTAATAATAACTAAGATGATTAAATAAGTACAATTTGCAGTCAAGGTCATCTTTTATTAGTAGAAGTATGATCCATTCAGTCAAGGTCAAGGTAATTTACTCTATACCAGGCATTTGAAAGTAGTGATAAACTGATGAGAAGATGAAATCCTCGCCGCATATGTCTAATTCGTCGAAAATGTGTTTCCTACATCTTTTGAGGCTTACAGAAAGTTGAATAAATATGATACCTAAATTTGAACAAAATATTTACAAATACAGTCCCTGGGTGAGATTTCAGATCGCAATGTGCGCGATACACTACAGTGAGCAACAGTGAAACAAAATCCTGCAAATCAACACTTGAAGTAGAATTAACTCAAAAAATAGTTAGGCATGAAGGTGGCATTAGACGAAGAAATCATTGAAAATCGATTATAAACCATGAAGTCAGGTGTAAATTACCTAGCTGCTAAGAATCACTGATTAGAGACTGTTGGTTACGTCTCAGAAGCTTTCAGAAGGATGTTTTCACTTTAGATGTGCAAATCTATGCCAGGTTTTAGGTTAGTTATTCAGTTATTCAATCATACATCTAAACAAGGAGGAATGAAGAGTCTTAGTGGAAAAATATTAAAATCAACAAAAAAGAAAGACAGTATATACAGTTGTGTATATTTTTGTCGTAAATCAGGCCCCTGATGAATTTGCATAGGTCATGCAAAAGATGTTTTAATCAGGTTTGGTGGCTGAAGAAGTTGATGACTATAGGATGTTAGTACAGCTGTCAAGTTCTGAATAATGAATGTAGTCTGATGGTACATAGTATTGATTAATAATTGTGGCTGGAAGTTACTCACACCAACCAATACTGCTTGCTTGTCAGACAGACTTGCTCTAAGCACTAAACGGCTCTTCCTCTCGTTTGTGAGGCCAAGTTCACCAGTCTGCCCGTCATTTACATTGCTTCCTTGATTGTTATTTATTGTGGCAGGTAGACTGCATACAATCATCTGAGTATCTTAAGTTTCTAAAGAAAACTCAGGTGAATTCTCACTCGGTAGACAGTGTAATCTGCAAATCGTTAGTAAGATTCTGGTTCTAGTTTGTCAGTTAAGTTTCCCACAATGGCTAAGCAACACGAGACTCCACAATACTAGAATTGTCTTTGCCGGCAGACACCACTTATCAACTTTTGGCTAAAAGAAGTTTATTTTCTAACAGAGTTTGAAATCAGTCTCACTTAGAATCAGAATCTAAAGTTTATTCATCATTAAACACCGATGTTACTGGAGCAGTTTATCAGCATTGGTTAATCCAGACTTCAGTTTCTAAAAGGACGTTACATCCTTTAAGTCTGAGAATATGTATTCTTGGCCAATGACAACAAACACAAAACGGTTAATTGCCTAGATCAATTTCTTGTCCATTAGTTACTAATGTTTAACAATAACCCCGAGTGCAATGAAGTTCGACTTATGTACCGCTTAGTGGTAAGACAAATTAAGATATTCCAAGTTTGATTACCAAGTGATTTCAGTTAGAGAACCATTGAAAACCACCAGATATTACTAGAAGGCTGTTTCGTCCTAGTTTAGTACTCATCGGAAATACACATCCAGGAAGCACTTAAAACAAATCAAATCCACACAAACAAACTTTTGAAAATTTCCGTGTATCTGTGAGTATAAAATTGATCAAATTTTTTTAGTAATTATTACTGTTTTCATAACACAATACCAAGGATGATTATATAGATCTTTTTCACTGTGGTTGGCAGTTTATGCTCACCCGTTAGAACTAAGATTTAAAGTTTCAGCTAATATGAACAATTGTATTCTTCTAGTTAGTTATTATTTCATAAATAGTATTGGAATTTCAAGGGTGGTCTTCTACAGAAATTAAAAATTAATTCCTACTAACTGAATGTGTTCTTAAGGAAATACTGACCAGATATTGCATGTCCACTCGAATCCTACATCTACTCAAGTCTTAACATCACTTAGAACATCACTATCACTCTGCTAACTTGAGCCTATTTGAGATAGTTCCACTGACAGTTGACAATCTGCTCCTCTCTTCCAATTCTTATGATGAGAACTGAGTTTAGACCGTCTGACTAAACGGGTAGTGAGAAGATGATTTTCATAGTCTTGGCTTGTCCAAAGGCTTAACTGGTAGAGCACCATGTTGCCTTTTCGGGGAGGGGGAACTCCTGGTTCGATTCCTTCTCCCTTACACTGCATCAGCTATCACAAACTTTTTTCGCTAATGCGTGTTATCTTCTGAAAACTCTCTGAAACTTAGAACTGTGTGGTTAAGTGCAGAGTTCTAAGATGTTACGGACCGATGAATTCAGTCATATTTGTGGATAGAATATGTATTATATACATAGATAGGTAAATAAAGGTAGTGAAATCTAGAGTTTGTCTACTAAGAACTTAGGTTGTCCTATCCAGTAACCAGATTACACTCTTTTGCTTCCTCAGTCAGTTCAATGGTAAGGTTCAACGAAAATGATCAGTCGTCTTTCTGTGGTTAAATCGTACTTTTGTCTCATGGCTGCTTACAAGCCGGATTCACACAGTCATGAAATAAAATATAAAATTAAAAGCAAATATTCGTTTTCTGTAATGTGCAATTTCCTACAGATGCAATTTCGAACACTATTAGAATCAACAAATACGAGCTTGCTACCACCTGCTTGTTTTGACTCACTCAGTCAGTTTTTAGAACCTCTGTTAATTGACCATTTTAAGAAACTTTCACATGGAACATCAACAATCGATTTAACCAAATCATCTGTGAAGAGTTATCATCATCCGACCAGTAAGTAGTCAGCCACCCACCTCTCAGTGAAACTTGTAATTTATTTGGACTAAACTACACAGTCAGACAAATGTTCTTTCTAATTACTTTTCATATGTTATACTTGTGAGCACACCACTTGATTACTCATTTTATTATATAAAATATTTACTCTCCAGTGTTTTAGTGAGACAGACTTTGATGCATAAATCATGAAGAAGACTTGTAGCTCAGATGGATGATATTAGCACAGTTGTGTTATCTGAGGTGACTTTGAATTAATTTCAGCGACGGAGATGTCATCTAGAAAGACAATGAAAGATTAGCGACTAGACCATCCAGCTCAGATAACACAATTACACCATACCTACACTGACCAGTCTCTAGGTCATACCCGATATCGTACGTCTAGACGTTGACGCCAGGTGATAACTGAATTCTGTCTGTCACATTCGCAGTGTAATAGTCACCAAGCTGAATGATTTGCTATCCCGATGCACCTATTGTCTGACCCACTACAAATATCATCACAACCACTGTGCACATACAAGTATGCCAGTATAAAAGCTCCCCAAATATTGTGAAAATCACTACTCACCTGTAAGGTGCTGGCTGATCCTCGTCAATTTCATATTCAGCATTCTCTAAACCATATTCTGTATCCGCCAGTGGATAATTTATCAAGTCTTTCTCCAAATCACCTCGTGTACTGTCAGGCGATTGATAACGAAGTTCAAACAAAAGTATGACCTGTTGTGTTTGTTTTTTTTTACAAATAAACAAATAAATATGTGGCAGTTATTCATTAGTATAAATTAACAACAAATATAACCTATCGAGACCATTAATATACTACTGAATGCAAAGAGTAGTTTCAGATAGAAAATACAAAATTTGAATTTCGATTAGATAATCCTCCTATGAAATTGATGGTTGTGTGTTCATTTCAAGAAAAGGATAAGATTCTGTATTAAGAGGTAGGGTGATAAAACGCGACATACTGTCTTTTTTTTTAACTTAGAAGTCGTGACCAGTAGGATGCAGAAGGTCGGGTGTGAGGGCAAATACTCGCCGAAGACATTGGCTAGCGGATGCGCTATGTCGTGAATTGTCAGAAGTTAGAATTCATGGACTGACCATTGGATCGGGTCCCAGTGGCTTAATGGTCTACAAGCTAGCTCACCTTGTAACAGGTAGGTCTCGGGTTCAAACCTCTGTGGTGGGTGCATACTGCTGAATAGTCGCAAACTAGGACATTGGAAACAGCTATCCAGTACTCCCTGCAGGTTTTCCAATGGTTCTCTAACTAATGTCAACACATGATGAAATCTTGTAACTTAGAATACAGTTTTATTTTGGTGGGATAGTTGTACTTGAGGAATTCATAAGCTTCATGGTGGTAATATCTAAAACTAAGTCATCACTGCTATTGCTTTTTTTGCGCTGATAAACTCTTAAAGTAAAGTGACTGATCTCACGGAGTCATATTTTTCATTGATCAGAGAGTCATCGGAAATTCTATGTTAGGTAAGTTTATTTGAAATGATATACACTGATACAGTATTAATAACTGGATGACGTTTCCAGAATAAATTATTGCTTTGAACCATATCAGTTTAGTCACAGGTCTTCGCAATTTGTCTTATATGCATTTCCCTGTCTCCCTCTCTCTTTCCTGTGTTGTTTTCTGTCAGTTTCCATATCTCCGGTATAGGCATTGAGTTGTTTCGATTTCACGTGTGCGGTGTTTAATCGACAAACAAAGCTTCAGTCAGTGATTAATCTCTCTCTCTCTCTCTCCACCTATCTTTGTTACTTTTTAACACTCTCACCATGTCCCACCCACCCTACTTTGTGATGACATGCAAGTGAATTCAGTGCAATGGACGAGCTTTTTTCTAGGTTATTTAACTTTGCATGGTCAATTATTCTAAGTCCAGATAAATTTTTGTGTTCTAATAATCTAGTTAATCCTGATCTATTATTTTGACCTATGCAATTGAAATCACAGTTATTACATGATATTTGGTAAATTATATTATCATTATCTTTCGTAATCGGATCTTTTGTGGCTTTAAGCCGACAAAGTTTATCTCTGAGACGGTTGCTTAGTTTAAATGTCACCCTAATTTCAGCCTCATTGAAAATCCTACATAAGGCCTGTGATGTCCCTACTGCAAACGCTTTGTTTGAATAATATATTATTTTTGTCATTTTTATTGTTAATCTTAGTCTTTCAATAGTTCTTCGTATATTTTTGAATAAATTCACTAGTAATATTTCCTTTATTTGTAAAAAATTATATTTGTAAAATCTCAGCGATATTGAAATGAGTACTTCCAACGTTTCTGTCAAATCTTGACTACAGTTCATTTGAAATATTTCCTTTAATTGTTTGATTTCATTATTTAAATCTTATGGCTTACTAGTAAGGCACCAGGACTCGATTACACAGAAATTCAACTAAACCTACCTTTTCCATTTCTGGATGGCATAAATCAAACTCTAAGTATTTGTTAGATTATGTCCGTTTTCTACCTAACCCGCCATCTTGTTTTCGTTTTATTCTATGGTCTGGCACGGCCAATTCACTTGTTCGTCTTCTAGCTCAGAAGTGAACTGGATTTCATCTACCACTGAGTTTATATGTGTGAATAACTGAAATAAATGTTCAGATTTCAACACAGTGAATGTGTTATCGATGTATCTCCACTATAACCTACGAGCAGTAGCTTTATGTTCCCAACTGTCCATAAATATGTCTGCCATTATCGGGGATATTAATGATTCCATTGCCACCCCCATTCATCTGTTTGTATATATATATTTTTTGAAAGTTAACTATAGTGAAGATTAGACATGACTGAATACCTAATATTATTCCATCAATCAAGAGCTTAGCCCTACTTTTGAGTTCAGGACCTATGTTCAGTTCATTCTTACCTGCCTTCAGAACCGTATTGATTGGAATATTAGTGTACAAACTGTTTGTGTCAAAACCAACCATTTTTTTCATCTTTTTCTAACTGAATTTCCTAAATCCTCTGTTTCATTACGTAATGAAATGGGATCTGTTGGTTCTAGATTTCATCTCATAAAGGAACAAGATTTTTCAGTCCTAAATAATTCAAGTACAAGCAGGAAGTAGCTGAGTGTTTCTCCTTGATTTCAATGATTCTCTACCTTGAAATAAATCTAATCCTTTGATAATACAACTTTAACACTCGGATTTTATAGTTCCAGCTATTCTTTAGTAATTGTCATAAAATGGCGAATTTCCTGAATATTCGGAGTAAGTGATGCATCATTCTTGTTTTAAGTATTTTCAAGTAATTCGATAAACACAGTTTCCTTTATCAATATCTCCATCCACTGTGCTATATTAGATCTAGGAGTCGCTGCTTATTCCCATCCTGTTTTATGTTTTCATTTGACTAGATGCAGATGTACACATGTATACCCGCCACATCTGTTTAACTGAAATGTAACAGTTTGTTGCGTTCATATCCAAGGATGCATTCTGATAACTTAAAATTAATAGCAGAATATATTTAATATCTAATCTTGCTGACGAGTGCGAACAAGCTTCAGGGCTCCCTGCTGATCACCTTCAAACACCTGCCATCAATTCAAAGTGCACCACGATTGACTGGTTGACTGGTAAGTTTTATTTCACTCGGCGAATGTGATTCTTGCAGTCATGACCATTAAGCTCAAATATCAATATGAACTTTTAAAGGTTTCCTAGGTGCATCTAGCAATAATTTCTAAGTTATGCCTTTACCTATCCACTTTCCATTTCCTTATTCAGAATCATGAAGGAGACCAGTAGGGTCTGGACACCACATCCTTCTCTATCTGAAAATTACCAGGCCAGCACTTATAGTTTCACACACCAACACTGGGTCAATCTAATCGTTTTGATTCAAGTAGATTTACGAGGAATTGAAATCAATAACAGATAACACGACATTTTATCAGCTTTATGAAAGGTGGCTTTGGTATACTTAGCGGCCTAGTGAGTAACATTTTGGAGTTTAAAATAACAGGTGCAGTGTTTAAGGTTGGTTGGGATCACCGTCAGTGAAGGGAAGGCATTCCGATTCAGCCGAAAAGCTAAAATGCCCGTGACAGACTTCAATGACTGAAACGATAAATTAGCTTATTTCATTTATATATGTCCAAACTAAGTTCACTTTTAACAGTTTGAAAAATTTTTGCATTGAATATATGAAATTCATTATTATAAAACAATACGATTTCGTTTCTAATTCAATGGGAAATACAAAATCTTTTATAGGTTGCTTCATGTTAAAGGACTTTACTTGAAGGAAAAGGATGTCAATACTTTCCGAAAGACTTTGGAAAACAAGACTCTGTTGTAGACTACGCACAAAGCTGTGAGATGCTCTCATGTTTGAATGACGTAAAGAAGGTTTCACTGTAGGTAGTACTTGTAGCCAGTCTCTTAGCCTGATGAACATACTAAATGCCAGGGCATTTGGAAACTGGTCATTACCAAGTTCTAGATCACATGATATTGGTTACATCGTAGTGACCAGACAACGCATATACTACAATTCAACATGATGGGAGTTGTGGCAGTAGATGATACCGGCTCGAATTTCCAAAGACACGTAGATACGTCTCGCTGATAAGTGACAATAAGTAGGAGACTTTATGATGGTTGCCTGCAACAACCTAATGTCAACTAGGGATTTTGATAATCAGAAAAAGCGTTCTTTGATCAGTTCGGGAAAAAGTTAACAACTAAAGTAATGATGAAAATGTGCGTTTTGACGGTGCCCCAGGAGCTAACTACGATCGCAGGATTTATTATCTCATTATAAATCATTCTGTCTAAACTGAAGAACGAACGTCACATCTGAAAAGTATGCTTAACATCTTTTTATGAGACTTCCAGGTTAGGGTAATAGTAGCTTTAGCAGTCACATTCAGTGCACTATTGTTAGTATTAACTGATGTAAGATGTTAGGAGGCAATCTCTAGGAAACCGTAGAGGTAGGCTTCGTGCTTATTTAGAACTAATCAGCAAGGCATATCTGCAACCTTGGAAGAACTCATGTCCCTTCTGGGATTCGAACCCGCGTCCCCCAGTGCTGCAGTCAGAGACGTTGTCACTGAGCTATTTGGATTCGCGATTGACCTCCTGTAGGACTGTAGTGGACACTAGTAAGTAGTGTTCTGCGGTTAGTCCTTTCTTTGATGCAGACTGAATTCTATCATTCAGGTTTGCAATGTGGCCACCATTCTAGGTAGTTAGCCATCACGGTGCACATTGATTTGATGATATTAGATGGTCGGAGGCAATCGGCAGGAAGCCTTGAACCTACACCTTGCTGACAAGTGCCAACTAGCACGAAACCTAGGTCCAAATCAATGTTCACCGTGATGGTAAGCTACCTAGAATGGTGGCCGCATTGCAAACCTGACTGGAAAATTTCACTCTGCACCAAAGAAAGGACTAGACGCGTCACACTAGTTACTAGTGTCCACTCAAAGAAAAATTTGTATAAATATAATCAGAGTATACAAAACAAATATCACAGTGATACTTACACCAGTTGGATGACATGAACTATCCACAAGATTCTCTCGAAATATTGAATGTACATCTCTATTCAACGGATAGAGGTTTACTGACAAGGAACCTAATAAACTGAAATTATGAAAAAATAAAAGAACAAAAATCATTATCTAATTTTTTATAATTTATCTATTATTATTATTATTGTATCCTTTAGTTCCTAGAGGAACATAGGGCTTCAGCTGCGCACCTCCATTGACTTCGGTTTTCTGACAACTTTTTCACCCTGCTCCAGGTCTGCCCACATGCTTTCATCTCCTCTTCACATGACCTCCTCCAAGTCACCCTTGGACGACCAACTCGCCGCCTCCCTTTCGGGTTCCACTCGAGGGCTTGTCTAGTGATGTCACTTGATGGTTTCCTCAGCGTATGGCCAATCCATCTCCATTTCTTTCTGCCTATTTGTTTCACAATCGGTTCCTGATTGGTTCGCTCCCAGAGATCCCTGTTGCTGATCTTTTCTGGCCATCTGATCTTGAGTATTGAGCGGAGACAGTTGTTAATGAAGGTTTGAAGTTTGTTTGAGATGCTCTTTATGACTCGCCAAGTCTCTGATCCGTATAGTAGCACTGACTTCACATTGGAGTTGAAAATCCGGATCTTATTTTTGATGCTGAGTGCTGTTGACCTCCACACAGATTTGAGAGTAATGAAAGCTTGTCTTGCTTTTCCGATTCTGGCTTTGATGTCTTCGTCAGTTCCGCCTGTAGTTGAGACGATGCTTCCCAGGTAGGTGAAGGAGGTTGTTTCTTTCAGGTTCTTCCCATTTATGCTTATTGTGGTCTGTTGTTGCTGTTGATGTTGGCAAGGAATCTTCATCATCTCTGTTTTATCTATGTTCACGTGAAGTCCTAACTTTGATGCTTCTTCTGCCAACTTGTTACTTTTCATTTGCATATCTTCCAGTTTATGGGAAATCAGACATATATCATCGGCGAAATCCAGATCCTCCAAGTCTTTTGTGTCAGTCCATTTTATGCCTGTTCCCTCGTTGGTTGCCGTTGTCTGTCGCATTATCCAATCGATTGCAATCAGGAAGATCATTGGTGATAGTAGACAGCCTTGCCTCACTCCCGTCCTCACTTCGAAGGCTTCCGTAAGTTTCCCGTTGTGGATTACTTGGCATGCAGCATTGTCGTATAACTGTTGGATGAGATGTATAATTGTCAATGGGACCCCGTAGTAGCGAAGTAGTTTCCAAATGACCTCTCGATCGACGCTGTCGAAGGCCTTTTCAAAGTCGATGAAGTTGAGATAGAGAGGTGACTGCCATTCCAAGCTTTGTTCAATGATGATCCGTAGAGTGGCGATTTGATCAATACATGATTTGTTTCTCCTGAATCCAGCCTGTTCCGGACGAAGTTTTTCATCTAGGGCTTGTTTGATTCTCTCCAGGATGATGCGACTTAGTATCTTGCTTGGAATGGACAGAAGCATAATTCCACGCCAGTTTTTACATTGACTTAAGTCTCCTTTCTTTGGAAGTTTGAATAAGTAACTGTTCTTCCAATCCTCGGGTACTTTGCCCTCTTTCCACACCTTCTCCAGCAGTGGTGTCATCAAGTCCGCTGTTGTCTCTGGGTCTATTTTCAAAGCCTCTGCTGGGATTCCATCTCACATATTCCCAGCACTTGTATTCCGTATCTTTTCATCTCGTTGGCGATCTGGGCAGCTTTTCCAGTCTCGTACATAGTTCGAACGTTCCATGTTCCTACACAGACTTTTTCTTTTGGTGCAAGGAGGTTCAGCATACTGAAGATTCTGTAGCAATTTTTGTTTACAGGGTGGGGTTGCTAGCCTCACGCCTGAGAAAAGAATGATTACATTGAGTAAAAGTTTAGAGAGAAGCAACTTTTTGGGTTGCTCCCCTCAAAATCAGAAAATAACGGACAAACAATGAGAACAACGTCAACAAAGGAAACAGTTCACAGAAAAAAGGGCAAAAAGCGACGGCAACTATACAATAAGACAACATGCAATATAGTTCAGTATATTGCATGTTGTCTTATCTAAGATTTATATCTAAGATTTGTATTTTTGACTATTCCATTGGTCACATCCTGAGAAGTAAATATTCATAAAAATGTGAAAAGTGTTTATTGACACGGGTGCGTATTCATATTTTTACTATTACTATTATTGTTTTTCCTTGGGTTCCAAGTGGAAAACAGGATTTCAGCAGCGTACCTCTACATTATTCTATTCTCTTCACTTCTCTTCAGCTGTATCCACGATTGCCCATAGCCTCTAACCTCTTCATCGCACGATCACCTCCATATCACCCTTACATCACAGACCACCTCATCGTTTCCCATTCGGATTCCACTCGAGCAGTGGCCTGGCATCCAATGTCATTAGATAGCCTCCTCAAAGTACATCCAATCTATTTCCAATTTCTCCGGTATATTTGTTGGACAGTGATATATATCCATATAATATGTGTGTTTGTTTGACAGCCTGATATATTTTGCTATGTATATATGTATCGATATTCCATTATAATTAGCCAATCATGTTAAGACTGTCTATTGATTTGTTCATTTTGAATATTCGCTCACACATTTGTGTTCACACACTTGTTCGGACATTCTTATATATTTTGCTCTCACACTCTTGTGTGACATTGATTCTCCTTGTGTTTTGGAAAATAGAAGTATCATCGCAAACCTAGTGGTCTTCTGATTTCCGTCTTTCTTGCGTCAGGACTATTAAATTCTCGACCAGTACATAACAATAATTTGGCGACGGGGAAAACTATGGATCCTTCTAAATTGGAATTACTATTTGAACGACAAATGAAATTAATGGAAATGTTCGTCAACCAACAGACTGGTCCAGCTTCACCTTCAAGCAATCCGAATCATACCATGCTACCATCTGTCGACGGAATTGTGAATAGTATTTCACAGTTCAATTATAATCCAGATGCTAATGTCACTTTTGACACATGGTATCAACGATATGAGGATTTATTCACAGTTGATCTCGCCTCACAAGACGATGCTTGGAAGGTGCGAGTGTTATTACGTAAATTGGGTCCCGCAGAATATGAGAGGTACTGCAACCTAATTTTACCCCAGAAACCACGTGACAAGTGTTTCGATGATACAATAAAGCTGCTGCGTGAACATTTTGGAGACCACTCCTCATTATTCAGCATACGTTATCGTTGCCTCAAGCTGACAATGAATGAAAATGATGATTTTCTTACTCACGTTGGCACAGTCAACCGAGAATGTGAGAGATTTCGACTCAGGTCCTTAACAGATGATCAATTCAAAGCCTTGATTCTCATATGCAGTCTCCAATCTCCTCGTTTCACAGATATCCGAACTCGACTGCTCAATCAGCTAGAACAAAATCCCAAGTTAACATTACATGACATAGCTGATGAATATCAACGGCTGATTAATCTGCAGAAAGACACACACCTGGTCGAATCAACACCTTCGAGAAGCTCTGATATTCGTGCATTACGAAAGAGCAAAAATCTCTCATCAGCTACTCCTGACCCACCTACTTCTCTTAATGTTCCGCGGAAATCTACACATACTCGTCCAACTTCACAAAATACTGCAAAGAAGACCCCACCATCACCATGCTGGCATTGTGGCGCGTGGCACTTTGTAAAGTCTTGTCCGTACAAAAATCATCGTTGCAGCAAGTGCAAAATCATCGGTCATAAAAATGGTTTTTGTCAGCCACGCAAACCCAGATGTCAAAATCCAGCAAAAGCTCGACAAACTGTTGGTCCTAAATCCCCAAAACGTCATTGAGTCTACGCGCAACCTGTCAAGTCACAACACCAGGTATGCGGAAATATCTTGATCTTCAGATGAATGGTCATGATGCACGTCTGCAGCTAGATACCGCCTCTGATATTACTGTTATATCAGAGAAACTTTGGAATAATATTGGCAGACCACCAATCGCAAATACTTCCCAGACTCTTCTCAGCGCCTGTGGTGGGCGGCTCAAACTAATTGGTGAACTCAAATGTTCTGTTTCCTTCCGCAATATCAAATTCACAGGAAATTGCTACGTCACCAAGAGTGATTTAAATCTTTTGGGACTTGATTGGTTCGATCGTTTGCATCTGTCTGATGTCCCACTAAATTCCGGACGAAGCCGAAGCTGCAAACCCAACAGGCAGATGAAGCGACAGACGTCAACAATAAGCTCAACGGTTCCAGATAAACCCCCAGGAAAACACCCTACTAATCATCAATCTTCTCAAAAGGGGAGATGATATACATCCATATAATATGTGTGTGTTTTTTTTTTGACAGTCTGTCCTTGGTGATATATATCCATATAATATGTGTGTTTTGTTTGACAGTCTGTATATTTGCTATGTATATATGGATCGATATTCCATTATAATTAGCCAATCATGTTAAGACTGTCTATTGATTTGTTCATTTTGAATATTCGCTCACACATTTGTGTTCACACACTTGTTCGGACATTCTTATATATTTTGCTCTCACACTCTTGTGTGACACATTGATTCTCCTTGTGTTTTGGAAAATAGAAGTATCATCGCAAACCTAGTGGTCTTCTGATTTCCGTCTTTTCTTGAGTCAGGACTATTAAATTCTCGACCAGTACATAACAGACAGTACGTTCTTGGTTGGTTCATTGTCTTGGCTACTTATTTCTAATTCTTGCCACTGGTCATCTTATCTTCACTATGGAGCCACTGAAGGAATCTGTTGATAAAAGCCCTCAGTAGCCTTTTGGAAGTGATTTTTGTGACAGCCCACATTCCTGATCCATATAGAACTGAATTAACATTGGTGTTGAGAATCCGAATATTGTTGTCTATGCTCCGGAGTGGAAAAGATTTCTAAGTGATGATTTCAGAGTGATGAAGAGTTGTCTGCCTTGTCTTTCTGACCCCAGTTTTGACATCCTAATCCGGGCCAGCCACCTGGATAAGCGGAAAAATTGATCTCTTTCAAATTTCTTCCGTTGACAGTGATTGGTGTTTGTTGTTTCTAGTTAGTTATCTACATCAGTCCACCACATTTAGGACTGGATTATGCTTATTAGTCTATCTTGTATTTTTA